CTGTCAATGATTTTCATGGTATAGTATATTTTACATCCCCTTTCTATTCAGAAATGAGGTGATGGGGCATGGGGTGATGGGGCAGCCTGACTGCAGAATCTGAAGCTGTAAGGCCATGGCACTTCCTGAGGAGAAACTTATCTAGGGAGGGAGCTTCTGCTGGGCGTAATGTGCAATCAACTAGTTGAATTCATTGCTACAGGCAACCAAGCCCTATGACTAGGAGTATTTCAGCTGAAAATTTTGAAATAATACCACTCTTCTTTGTCATTAAATGAAAAAAAAAAAACAACCACACTATTGTGGTTGGTGTCATCATTAGCAACTATACAAAACAAGATGCTGATCATGTCTCATTTTGCAACGTACCATTTGCAGCTGAGAGAAGACAAGCAGCACCTCCCTACCCCCATTTCTACTAAGAGAGTTGACCTGCATTGCTAGAGGTTTATCCAGGGATGAACTAAGGAAGAACTTCTGGAAAACATTTAAGAATTACTTGGCATTTGTGTTCCTACCCTTGATGAAATGTCACAATTTTATTTATGATATAACAACTCTTTATTGCACTGACACTGTTTTCTTCCTCTTCAGATTAGAGCATACTGGTGTCCTGGTTCTGGCTGGAATAGAGTTAGTTTTCCTCTTAGTACTTGGTACAGTGCTGTGTATTTGATTTAGTATGAGAATAATGCTGATAGCACACTGATGTTTTACTTGTTGCTAAGTAGTGCTTACCCTGATCAAGGACTTTTCAGTCTCCTGGGCTCTGCCAGTGAGGAGAGGCGCAAAAAGCAAGTATGAAGCAAAGACAGGACACTTGACCCAAACTAGCCAAAGGGGCCATAGCACAGCATGTCATGCCCAGTATATAAACAAGGGGGAATTGTCCGAGTACCAACTGGCAGTACTCGGGGACAGGCTGCCATCAGTCGGCAGGTGGTGAGCAATGTTATTAGGTATAACTTGTCTTTCTTGGATTTTATTCCTCTTTCTTCTTTTTCCTTCTCCTTTCTCATTCTTAGACATGATTCCTGTGGATCTTCTTGGATTACCAAGAGCAACTTCCAGTGAGCAATGAAAGTGAATTTTCCTGTTGTTCTGAACTACTCTGTAGGAATTTTTACATATGTGAGTCTGTTGCTGATATTTATTTCATACTTTGCAGGAAATAACCATGTAATGTGGTTAATTTGTAGATGGCATGAGCCAGATTAACTGCTGAGATTAGGAATGCTTGCTTTTTGCTGCTCAAAGCAGTGCAGGAGTAAATTCAGGCAGTTACTGGAGGTATCCTCTAGCAGAAAAACAAGTAAAAACCTTTGCAATAGAGAAGACTTCATTTTAACATGCCCCTTTTATCTGAATACTGGTATGGCGGGAGAAAATGTGAGACTGATTGTATTCTGCCAGGAGGCTCTTAAAACCTGCACACATTTACTACTTTATGGAAATTTTTTTGGATTTCTCTAGTTCTAAAGAATACAACTGTATACTTTTACAGCCAGCAATACAACTGGGTTGTGGCTGAAAGAGTAGAAACATTCTTAACCAAGGTGTAAGTCACTTACACTTCCCCTTAGTCTTACCAGACATGTAGTCTTACACCAAGATTTAGGCTTGTTGAATGCACTTTTTTGTTCTAGTGGTTGAATTAGTTTGGGTTGGCTTTAGCTCCAAAGCAATAAATCAACTGCATGTGGAGAGCTAGTAACTATGAAGTTTATAGCTAATTTATGTCAGTGTAGACCACACTGTAGCAAAACACATCCTTATGAAAATGAAATCAACTGAACTAGTTTATGTTTAAATGGATATATTCTCCTTATTGCATAATCCAGACTGAGATTTATATTATACATAAAGTAGAATTGTAACATGGTAACATTACAATATGGCTATTTACCTCCCCCCTCTGGACAAATTTGGTAGTAGAATGTGAGCAGTATTTCATTAAATCAAAAAGCATTTCTGATTTTGGAATTTTTCTTTTAAAATTCTTGAGAGCTTTTACATGCATTGCATTTAAATAACGTCCTTATTTATGTCATCTGTGAAAATATTGCTTCCTTAACAATGTGAATATTATTTCTATCTGGTTTAAGCTTTTTGTGCTCTAGGCTTAGATTCTGGTTCCAGAAAGGCATCAGTAATTTCCCAGTGTATTATCTTGCCCTGGCAAGACAGAACAAAGAATCTGAATTCCTGGTATTAATTTGGGTCACTTCCTGACCTTCAGGGTCTTCTTTTGCTTAAATGATTTGAGCTTTAAGTGTTTTCGTTTGCTATCTGTAGTTCACAAAGACAGAACTGAAGGACCAAAGGTTAGATTTGGTAACCATTTTAAATATCAAAGTTCATGGATTGCTATGAAGAGTATTGGTTTGGGTGATGCCTTACCATAAAGAATAGTAAGTTTCAGTTTTGTATTGAAAGAAGACTCCAAATATTTTATTACACTCTTATGCTGTTATCCTTAGTTTGAAAGCTCTTGGATAATTCATATCTGGCTTTAAGGGAATATTCATTTTATACAGACAAATTAATTAGCTGTTAAATGCTCCTGTGCATCACATCAATTCAGCTACTGTGTTATTAATTTAGTATATATAAACATGTTGGAGATTCATTAACTACGTTTATCTCCATTTCAATTTAGTAAGACTTATCACAAATATGACTGATAATGAAAGGAAATTATAAATCTTCAGAAACCTGTCAGAGATGCCTACAGTCCATACAGTTTTAGTGATTTATTTTCTGTGTCTTTTTATCCAGTACACTTTTTTTCCTGGGAGGTTGCTGAAATACTTCATATCAATGCTTTCATATGGATTATCGACAACAATAATCATAAGAAATGTCAGTAACAACTTTAAGTTATTTAATAACAAATAATGCATGTAGTCATGTAAACTTGCTTGTTCAGCTAAGTCAAAACTAGCAACTTATAAAAGCACAAGCACTATATAGAAGTTGCTATCAGAAAGCTAGAAGTATCTTGTAGCATCATAGTTCTCTCTTTAAGGCAAATTAGCTCTCAAGTTAAGGTCATAGTTAATAACAGTAATCTAATTTCCAATAGAACTATAAGCACAAGAATACATTCACATTAATGTTCTAGGAATTGCTGCATTCACAGCAAACTATCCCATGTTCTTGCCCCAAGACAAGATCAAGTTTCTTCAGGCCTAACCTCTTTTAGACCTTGCACAGATGATGGCTTAATATAAGCCCTCAGTGCTTAGCTTTTCCTCTTAATTATCTAAATCTTCCTTCCTGTAATGTAACATGTTGCTTCACCAGCACACAGTATTGTGCCCATCTTTGCAACAGCTTCTGTGTAAATAAGGATGATTATCACACCACCCCCCCTCTTCTCTCAGGATGACTGACTTCATTGTTGGCAAATTCTCCATAGCGTGATTTGAATCTCTCAACAACCTTCAAAATTAAACCTTCGTATATCACATCTTTCCTGCATTTGAGAGGGAGGAAAAATGTAATCTCTTCTCTGCTGCAATCAGTAGCATATTAAGGATGTCTGTGTTTCTCAACCTTCTCTTTAAACTAACAAACTCCTCTCCAGTCCTGTCAGAATTCAGGCTTGCCTGATTTCATTGCTTTAATCCGGACTTCAGTTAGTGCACATCATTCTTGAAGTGCAGTCCTAAAACTGGACACAGAATTCCAGCTGAGGCTTTAGTGGTTCCATACAAAGCAGGATTACCTCACATCTCACATTGCCTTAGATGTGTTTGGACATCCTGGCCATGATGGTTCTCCTTTAAGCTAAAGCACAGCACTGTTGGTAAATGTTTAGCTTGGAAGCAACTCCCAAATAGTTTCTGTGGAACTGCTGTAAAACCAGTATTTCTCTATCCTGCATATATGCAGTAGACAACACAGTGCTGATTTTGTCTCTATTCTGTTGCATCCTAGGGTTTGGGTTTTTTTTGTATTGCTGTTTCTTGGTTTTAGAAGGTGTGACTTATTTGTCACAATCATTCTGAACTCTAATCCTGCTCTCCAGAGCAGGCACAGTATATTCCATCTTTTGAGAAAAGGGAAAACAAACTTTACCTTGTATTCCTCACACCTATAAAAACACTGGAAGAAAACATGTGAACTACAAACTGCAAAAAAGATGACATCCATACTTTACACTCAAGCAAAAAGAGATCTCTCCTGATCAGTGCTGTCTAAAAGAGATAAGATACATAAAGCTTGTCAATGTTAAATAAATTAACTGCATTTCTGTAACTTTGGTCAGTCGTTTTTTAAAAGAAATGATGCAATTATAAGAATGCAAATCGCTCGTTTTGGCTGACATGAATGCAAGATTAAAATGACTGTAAAATTGTCACTGAAATATAACTGCTTATATCCTTTAAAAATAATGAAATGAATAAGGCAAAAAATACAAGTGTAATATTGATTCTATGACTATGCATAACAGAAGTAGATTTTGTTAACAGTTTATTAATGCTACATCTTGACTGGGGTATTTTTGTACTTCAGGAAATGTATTAAGTTTCCTTTACCCGAGACAGCAGTTAAACCTAACCTGGAAACAGATCACTCAAGTTCACTCTTCTTTCAGCAACACTCAAGAATGGTTTAGGGAACCGCATGGCAGTACGCTGTGGACCGCATAGGAGATGATACTTCAATAGTTATTTGGGAGTCAAGCTCGCATGTAGGTAGGTATGCTTTGGTGTTCAAAGGAGACGGTTTAGATCATAGCACAGTCCTGCCCTGAGATGCATTAGGAACACGGGCCGCTGGCAGGGAAGGTAGGGGCGCTGGGACAAACGGGATAAGCACAGCCAGTTCCGAGAGAAGCGAAGCCAAGGCGCAGGGCTGGGGGACCTCTGGGTGCGCCTCATGGCAGAAGCCGGCGCAGAGAGGTGAGAGGGGTGCGCTGGCGGTAGGAAGGGCTGGCAGCAGGAAGGGCTGGCAGCTTCACCGCCACCACTGCGCAACCTCCTCCTACGGCGCATGCCCTTTCCCGGCTCCCGTCGGGTACCGATGGCGGCGGGGGACGCGGAGGTGGCTCAGCAGCAAGTGAGCGGCGGTAGGGTGACAGGGCTGCGGGGAGCAGCGCGGGTCCTGACCTGCTGCGGCATCCTCGGGCGGGCAGCGTGAGCGCAGCCTTGAAAGCGCTGGATTCCGGTGGCTTCTGGTGAGCCCCGGCCGTGTGGGGAGGAGCTCCCTGCCCAGGGCCTGCGGTGCTCTCCGAGCGGCAGCAGGACTGTCTTTACTCAGCGCCGGTGGGTGACCGCACCTTCGCACTGAAGACCCATTCCAGGTGTTTAATTTCCAGGTGGAAGGTGGCTCTCCGGTTTCTGTGGGAATTTGCTGGATAACTTTAATCACTGTTCCTTAGCAAGAGCTCGTACGAAGGCCTTGGGGTGTTTTTCTTCAGGGGGATGGATGGCCCAGCCAGGAGCAGCACTGGCTGGGAGGCGCAGGGATGGGTTGTAGCTGATCCACCTGGCTTTGCTCACCTTGTCATTGCTGAGAATTACGGGATTACCTATAGAAATACAAAAGCTGTTGTGTGTATGAGAAAACTGAGCAAAGGTAACTTGTGCTGTGAGTCAGGACTGGATCCACAGTATTTATGGCCTTCTGGTACAGTAAATCTTGTCAGGTCTATAAATAAGCTGTGGAAGAGTGAGACTTAAAACTGAGACTGGCACACAAGGCTGTGGGCCCTGGGAGAGGTTATTTATTTTTTGCATAATGCTTTTTTTCTAGATTGATGAAATTGAAGCCCTTTCATCCATATATGGTGAAGATTGGTGTGTTGTTGATGAAGATGAAAAAATCTATTGCATTAAGATTAATGATTGCCTGGATCAACCAAAATGGACCCTCTGTCTTCAGGTAAAGCAGTGTTAAGTCTGGTGCAGAATTTGACTAATGCAGGCAAAGTCTTGTGCATGCAGGAAACCCCTTTAAATAGGATTCATTATCTATTCAGATGTATTAAGGAGCTTTTGGTTGGAATCTGTGATAGACTTCAGTGGTTGTTCCTGTAACACGTTAATATGCTTGTGATATTTTTTAGTAGTTATATATCCTAATTCCACACCTGACAGAAATGAATTTCAGTATTTTTTTCCCAAGACTAATTTCTAGAATATTTTTTATATTGACTTTGTGTCAGACATCTGAGTGAATGTGCTGCAGTTGCTTCTAGATTTACTTTATGGAAAACCTGGAGGCAAAAAAAAAAAAAAAGGATCAACTTAATTGAGTAACTTGCTACTTTATGATCACAGAACTGAAACCAGTAATTTTACATAGTGGAAGAAATGCCAAAGTGTATTGTCACTTACGTCCAGTAACCACATGTGCAGCTCCTTTAAAATTTGTTCTGCACTTTATTTTTCATGGCACTTGTTCCACGAAAATTGCACCATGAAATATAATGTCTGTATGCATTACCGTCACTGGAATCCCAAATACAGATATCCAGGTTTTCTTGTCATTCTGCAACAACATAGCCAACTATTTTCTTGATTTGTAACACTAGTTGTAGTCCTACTGCTCGACCTCTGAGTCCATCAGTAGAGCTCAGCTAACTAAGAGTAGTCAAGTGAATACTTATCTTGAATGTTTTTCAGGTGATTTTGCCGCCAGGATATCCAACTGCAGAGCCACCTATTTACCAACTAAAGTAAGTGAAGTTTTCTTTCAAACATTTGTATTTGTTTTCTGAATTACCCCTTTTACTTGCTTGCAGTATAAATTGAAGTTTAGTTAAGATGACTCCTTGAATTAAAGTATAGTGGGGATGAGGGATGTTTCCAGCAAGAATATTCTATCCTTTCTCCTGTGCTAGCCATATTATGGAGCTCCCTGTGACAGGTTGCTCTCATCCCTCATCTCTAATTCTTGCAGCATTATTTTGTGGCAAGGTAGCAATTGGACTATGGAGGTATGGTGGCTGCTGCCTGCTGTGTTGGAGTGATGTCTTGTCTCTTCCTTGTGTATACCCCTCTTGTTTGGGTACTTGTTTCAGATTGAAATACGTGCTTTTCACCTGAGTGCAGACTCTTGTTGGGATGCAGCCATGGCATGTACTATCTTCCTGTTTACCTTCCCTGCTCTCTCCGTGTCTCGTGACCATGTACATGAGATGGGATGGGAGACGTGTAAGTCAAGTCCCTGATGTGGATGACAGATAGGCCTGTAGGACATGGCACACAGCATATCTGCTGAGTTTTGGTTATCAGTATTGACAGGGCAATACAAAATACTGCTGGTAAACTTGAGGCAAAGTTTATAGTTTAACATGAGACCAGGAAGATACAGATACAGAACTGAATGGACGTTCTAAATGTAATAGATTCAATGGTGCTGAAGGAGTTGGAAAATGTAAGCAAATAATATGTAAACTGACTCTGGAGTCACAATGGCCTACCATGAAAAATGAGTCTAGCTTTTTCATCTGAAGAAAGAAAAAGCAGCCCAGTCAAGGAGTCTTGAAGGAGAACTGCGTGATCATGCTTTTACCAAGACATTTGCAACTGGAATCTTGGGAAGCGTCAGTGATTGACAGTGTTTTTTTTCAAGGTGTTTATCACGTTTACTTTAAAATGAATGTTTGTTGAGATGTTGGAATCGCTGTATAGGCACAATTTTCATTGTATTTGTTTTCATTCTAGTGCTCCTTGGCTTCGAGGACAAGATTATATGGAACTAGCAAATAGCTTGGAAGAAATATATATGTAAGTTAGAGACTCTGGAATATAGTGACAGGAGACAATGTGTTTTCAGTTTTATGCCCTACTCAATGTATGCTTTTGAAGTATCTGTCTGAACTAGTATTTGTGAAGTGATTGCTGCAATAGCCATAAACCAGCAAGTTTATTTTATAAATCTAACATTTAAAGATGTTGTGTACTTACTAAGCATTTTGCAAGGACAAATTGTGTTAAACTCAGACAAATTTATATTCTTTAGACCTGGTGTTCTGTAAGGACAGAAGTCTTCATTTTGACTCCTAATAGAATAGATTCCCTTTAGAATCTGTGAGATTGCTTATGAATTGGTGCTGTGAAGTATGAGATTCCTGCATTTATTTAATTGGAAGTTAAACTGTAGGACATTTTTGTCTTAGAGTGTAAGTGGCAAAAGAGTCTTTCTTTAAAGATAGCCAAGGGATAAGTAGATTTTAAGGCAAATTAAACTCATGTAGAATCTATTAATTAGATCTGTAACATAACGGACTGTTTATTGTCACAGTGTGTAGCCAACAACAATGCATAATGAATGCATGAGAATAAATGGAACATTTAGAAGTACTCAAATTACATAGTTTTGAATTGCAGTGAAATTGGAACAGTAAATTTAGGTATTTTATGTGGTTTATTTAATTCTTTCAGATCCCAAAGATAATATAAACTACATGAAATGAAAATATGTCGTAAGGAAGCACATGACTCTCATGACTGCCCAAAATACTGAAATCTGAACATAAGAAATGTTTTTTAATGACATTAAAAAGAGAGCACTTACCTTGCGTGTTTTTTGTTGTTTTTTTTAATGTAATTACTCAGTTACATTGATTAACTGGGTTTCTTTTCTAACTAAGCAACGGATAAGCAAGTAAAATTGAATTTAAAGTGTTAAAAATGCATGAGGATTTTAAGTGAAAAGCTCTATGGTAATTTTGTCACCAGTATGTAGTTGCGTGGTACCCCAGATGGTGGCAGTAGGAATAAAATGAGAAACCAGGAGTTACCTACAGTCCTAAATCTTTAGTTTTGTTTTTGAGACAAACATGCATCATGCATAAACATATTAAAATATGAAGACAACTTTTCAGGATACCATTTTAAATGTATTTTGAGATGTTTGGGTCCTGCTGCACCCTAAGGCAGCATTTCTTAACTTTGAATGTGCACATAAAAAATATGTGCATCCTGTCTTTCACCAGGACCTTAATACATACCTCTGCCCCCTGACTAAAAACTCCTAGACATAACTCTTTACTTCTCTGTCCTATAGGACTGCTAGTTACCCATACTCTAGCATATCAGTCCAATGCTCCACTGTGTCTACTGCAACTGACTTGCTGTCACAGTCCAGCCTTAACAGAACAACCTCTGCTACATGTGCACTTACTGCTTGAGGGGGAAGAGAAGAGAAGAAGGGAAGAGATGTTTGTGAGGAGGCTCTTCCAAAGAAGAGCCCTCTCCAGAGATGAGGGGGAAAAGTCCCATATAGCCACAGAGCAGCTGAAGGAGCTCACCACTGGGATATGATAGTTTTTGTAGAGAAAATTGATCCAGAGCAAGATCTAGGGCATCCTAGCTTAGTATTATTTTCAAAATACTGAGGACCATCCATTTTTTAATTACACAGTTGCTTTTCCTTTCCTTAATGGCCATAAAGCTTCTGTCAGTTGCCTGTTTTCCTTCAGCATTGGTGCTTTTAATGTTAAAGAAAAATAAAAATAAAGCAAGCCACAAAGAGTATATAGTGATGCAGGTATCGTGTGTTTCGCTTAGTGAACTACTGAGACAGGACTTTCCACAAGCCTAAGCTCTATATCTCACTAGATTTTAATGTTACATTTCTACGTGTCTGAAACATGTATGTTATTTGGTGTTCTTTCCAAGTGAAATCTGCAAAAATTATCATTCACTGTGAGTTTTAACTTCCAGACAGAACCTTGGTGAAAGTATACTTTATTTATGGGTGGAGAAGATACGAGAAGTTCTGATTGAAAAGGCACAGTCATCAGATCCAGGTACTTCAGAAAACACGTTTTTTCTCAATTTACTTTTTGTTAAACTGCGAAGTAAGATTTCATTACAAGTTAAAGCTTTATGCCCAGTTTTGTATTGGAGCTAAATAACATAGAACAACAGTCTCCAGTGTCATATGGCTTCTTGTTTTACAGTGGTAGCTTCCCTTTTTAAAAAGCAGCAGAGACAAAAGGGGGTGGCCTCTGTGAACTAGAGCAAGGTCCTTAGTTCTCTTGGAAATGAAATTACTTGCATGAAAGCAGAGTGCTGCATACAGGTATAACGCATTGTCCTCTGTTCTGTAAAGGAATTATTCATAACAGTAATTAATTTCTGTTGTTGAGTGTACTCTTGGAGGATTTGGATTAGCCTCAAGTGAAGATAAACTTCAGTGAAATATACAGACAAATGACCAAGTATTCCATCTTAATTGAATTTTACTATGTTGGGATGAGAAGTATATCATCATTAGAGTTGCAGTGACTCTTCTGCTGTTACTCTTATTGTGGTAGAATTTGTGTAAATTCACAGTTTTACTTTCAGAAAGTGGTGGGGTTTATTTTTGTTTGGGGGTTTGTGTGTTAAAATGCTAAATTGCTGTGAAATGCATGAGTGCCATGCACTTGTGGCAAAAGAAGTACTTTTCTGTGTCATGGGTGTTACCTCAGTCCTGTGAGGAATAAGAGACTGAACAGGGGGTGGAAAAAATCAGTGCTGCTTCATGATAAGGTCTCGTTTTCAATAAGCTGTGCATTTTGTTGCTACATCACAGATATTTAAAAAGTCATTTTTCATTGACATAACTTGAAGGAGTGGATACTGAGAAGTGAAAATTTTACTGACAATATTGGAAATTTGTTGCTTATTTTGCCAGCAGCCTTGTGGCTTTTACTTAATACATCTAATGATTTTTCTAGGCTTTTTGAACATGCTATATCACCTGTCTGCTTTTTTATGGAAAATACCTCTGTTACAAAAACTGCATCAACACCACATCATAGGCACTCTAAATTAACATGTGTGTATGGTAGATTCCCTATAAATGCAGTTGTCAGTGTGAAAGAGATATTTCAAACATAATGATTTTATAACCTCATGAAGTGCTATTGAAAGACAGCTGCACATTTTTCTCCAGGTGTTCAGTACATGACTGGAGTTCTTGTGAAACACCAGATTATTTTGGACTCCAAATTCAGAATTTCTGGAATTTGTTGTAATCAAGTTACTATTCTGTGTTTCATAATTTTTTAATGACAGACTTTGAACTGAAAAGCCAGAGGTTTTGGGAAAAAGAATTTGAAATTTTGTCTTACTTGTCTCACAAAAAAATGTGTAATAAATTCTGCTACTTCTATTTTAACAGAACCAAATATTAAGAAAACCAGTGAAGAAGTTGATGAAGATGGTGGAGATGATTTTGACCTAGATTGTCAGCCCATTCATGAAGATCCAATTAAAATGTTAAATTACATTACATCTGAAAGTCAAGAAGGTAAAAAAATATGCCCTTGTTAATTCTGATTAATAGTTCAGAAGAGAGAGCCCTTAAGATTCTGGTTGTCTATGCAGCTTTCAAGTAAAATTAGTAACATTAAAATTATATTAAGGATTAAAAACAATTGTAAGAAGAAAATAAACCAACATAATTTTTGGTGGTTCTGTATATCATCTTGTGTACTTTACTTCAACAAATCCCTTTTATAAAGTTGAGACATTCTTTACTTATGTAGCCATATACATATTTTCAGTACTCTTAAAAGAAAACAAACACTTCCTTATTTGTGATCAGTAGATGAAGAACTGCCACCCATACATCACGGAAACCCAATTACAGATCGAAGGAGTACTTTCCAGGCACATCTGGCTCCTGTGGTGACACCCAGACAAGTTAGTAAGATCAATACTACTCTTTCTGTCTGTATTTTGAGCTTGACAAAATATTACTGAGATACTTGGGATTAGCCAGATATGTCAGTCTGTCTGTATTCGCGTCTTCCTGTGCTAATATTGTCTGAGTGGCCATAGTTTCTCGCCGTCACTGCCAAATAAATAGCTCTACATATCTGCTCTGCTGTGCATCCTGCTGTTCTTTACTGTTAGGTGGAATTTGTTCCATTGCTTCTAGCACCAGAATTAACTTTCAGAATCCACAGCATTGTATGAAAATATGACTTCCCATGTTTGCTGTGATCCAGTCACTCAAAACTTTATTGCCCCTCTCTATTGTGCAGTTGGACTTCATAGACATCTATCAGTTTTAATACACCTTAGTTTTCTGGTTTTATGGGCTGAAGACTCCCAGTATCTTTTGGTACATATAATGCATGCTGTAACTTTGAGATGCAGAACAGAACTATGCACTAAAGATGCAGTCACTCCAAGGATTTATAGTGGCCTGAAGAGTTTTTCTGTTTTCCATGTTCTTTTTCTAGTATTACCTTTTAGTTTACTTTTTTGACCTCTACTGAGCACTGAGCTGGTGCTTTCATAGAAACATCTTTTATAACTCCAGGATCTCTTTTTGCAAAAGCTAATAACTAGTGTGAAGTCACTTTGTACATCACTTTGCATTCATTAACATCAGTCTCATTTGATGATCCCTATTTAGTGGAGAAGGTACTGAACTACTCATGTTTTCTTGTCATTAACTGAGAGTTAAACCTTGAGAAAATCTTTCTCTTTCCTTTTATACAATTCTAGCTTTTATTTTAAGAATTTTTGGTAAAGGATTTTGTCAAATGCATTTTAAAATTCCAGGTGATCTACTACATGTTCAGTGTCCCTGAAAGAGTATTAACAGATTGACAGGGCTTTGAGGTATATTTCTGTATACAAAAGCTGTAATATTTTGAGCTGTGGGGTTTTTTTTTGGTTTTGCTTCCCCTTTGTTATCTTGCCTAGTATGGACATAAGACTTGTTGGTCTTTAGTTCCCTGCATCCTTCATGGAGAGCTTCTGAGCTGGTGGCATTGCATCAGTGACTGTCTGTTGCAGAAGAGTTCTAGCTGGTATGTTAGATAGCTAGCATTCAACAGAAAGTGATAGGCATATTTCAGGTAGTAGGCTATAATTTGGTGCCACTGCTTTTCCTTGTCTCAGTTTGGCTTATTCTGAAATTTGACAGTTATGTGGTTCTTGGATTTGACATTGATTTAGTAAGTGAGAAGAGCTGGTCTGTTTAAGCATCTTACATCTTTTATGAGCAGGTGCCTCACTGACATGTAAAGAATTGCATCCCTTAATTTCCTAAAGCAGGAATAATAGAGATTGGAACAGAAGAAAAAAAAAAAAAAGGCTCAGGAGCTACAATGGGAAAAAGGATAAACTGTTGCTTAGCTATAAGATGCCTGTCTTGGAGGCTCATTGCTAATACACGTAACGAATCATTAAGGTATATTTTTAGGAGCCTGGTAGGTGACAAATAAGTAATGTCAAAGGTGATGATCATTTAATATGTGTAGTACCCTAAGTCCATATTCCCCTTGGGGAATAGGGAGTGCAGGAAAAGGAAAAAACAGGTGTCTGAAGCAACATTCTCTGTTACTAATAGGAGTTTTTTCATAGAGGTCTCATATCTGAGGTGATTTTTGTAGTTGCAAATTTGTGGATTTTTGCCAGAAGAATTGCAAATAGCACAGTATAGCTAAGACAGAAATTAAATATGTATATTGATTGCTTCTCAGAGACGTTTTTCCCTGGAACGGAAGGCAATTTGTTCACCAAGCATGTTTTCCCAAGCTTTCTCAACTTCAGTAATGTTTTGTTCAAAGTAATATTGATTTTTCTATTATGAGCTAGAACAGTGTCTTGATCAAAGCTTTCTTTTTTGCTAGACGAAATTGGAAAGGGTTGAACAATTGCTAGCTTGTTTAATTAAAAAGAGAAGATGAACTAATACTGATAAATGTTTTGAATTTGGTACTTCTTAAGATCAGAGGGATGAACATGGTGGAAATATCTATTCTGGGAAATACTGACTCTTTCAGACCCATAATGGAACTTTTTTGTAATCATTATTCTTTCTGTGAAATGGAAACTCTGGGGAAAAAATTATATTTGAGGAGAGGGAGAAATTCAAAATGTAATAGAGCTTTCGAAACATCACACGTTTTCCTGAAATAGGTGAAAGCAGTTGTGTTATATTCCAGCTTACAGCTTAGTGTTATAGTTGAGAAAAAGTCATCAGGTGTAATTGATACTTCATACTGATTAAAAAAGTTTTCTAGATCTTACCGTCTCTTGTGTAGTAAAGCAATTTGACACTTCTGCATCTTCAGGAAAAGAGGCCTGTAAGAAAAATGGGGAGAGACTTTTTAGCAGGGCCTCTTGTGATAGGATGAGGGCTAATAGTTTTAAACTAAAAGAGGGGAGATTCAGGCTGTATATGAGGAAAAAAATCTTTGTATTGAGGGTGGTGGAACACTGGCACAGGTTTCCCAGAGAGGTGGTGGATGCGCCACCCCTGGAGACATTCAAGGCCAGGCTGGATGTGGTTCTGGGCAACCTGATCTAGTTGAAGGTGTCCCTGCTCATTGTAGAGGGCTTGGACTAGGTGACCTTTGAAGGTACATTCCTTCAAGGAACAGCTGTTCTCAGTATCACAGAAAAAGTGATTTGAAACTAGCAATAGAGTACTGAGAAGCCACTTCTTGAGTTACAACACTGAATATTAATTTTACACTGAAGTGTAAAAAAAAAAAATAAAATGTTTCTTTTTGGTATTTGTTTCTTTTTGGTATTGAGATACTTGTTTAGCAGAGATAACTAATAGCATCGTAGAGATGAGATGGTGTGTATGAAATTCCCATTCTAAAAGGAATCTTATCTCTGTTTTTTTAAAGGTAAAGAGAGTTCTTGAAAAATTATATGAGAATAAGAAAATTGCAAGTGCAACCCACAACATACATGCATACAGGTGAGAGATGAAGAGTGGTTTGGTTTTTCGGGGGCTGTGTTTTTTTGTTGTTTGTTTTTTTTGTTTTTTTTTAGCATTCTTTGATAAAGGAGTAAAGAACATGAGGAAAGATGAATTCATCAAATAATTCCTTGCTGTTAAGTCTTTACGGGAGTGAGTTTCTTATTTGTATGGTAAAAGTTTTAGGCTTTATTTTGAATTTGAAGTCAAGAAAGTTAAACATATAGAAGGAAATATGTTAAGATAGTAAAGCAACATTAGTGAAAAAAACAAAGTGGGTTTGAACATGTGTTTTTATATTTTGCATAGTATGTGTGAATATGGAAATGCTAGAACATCTTTAACTAAATGTGTTTTTCCGTGGGTGAAGTAACTTCTTTTCCCCCCAACCTTATATTTAGAAATAGCTTAAAATTTTTAGTTGAAATAAGAGTTGAAACATAAAGCCTGATGCAGACATCTGGCATACGAAATTCAGCTGAAATACCAGAAACTTCAGGGAAAATGAGAAACAGGTAAATATTAGTTTGGTAGTGGTCTGTCTCTGGCAACTTTTGCAAGCACAGCTTATGTGAAATGAATTGGTCTCAGTCCAGATAGTGATGTGAGTTTTCTGAGGAATATAAATTACAGTAAAAGGAGCCCCTTTCATTGCTGGAGAACTAGACATTTAAAAAAGCATTTATAGACTGATCCATTCATACACATCCTGGTGTGATCCTAATGAATCGTCAAATGAGAGCAAGTGAAAGTTTACCAAAAAATCTACCTAAGCAGAATGTTTTTGAAGAGAAGGGATTTCTGTTGTTGCTGATTATTATCTGGCTTCTTTCACTCATACTATCTAAATAAACTTTAAAAAAGCAACAGAAACTTTGCTTCGTATTTGTCATTTAGTACATCTTCCTCATTGAAAGCTTCTTTGTCATTGTATCATGTGTTTATTAACTAAGTTTGAAAGTTATGAAATCAACTGGTAACAAACAGTTGACCTCAGAGCATTACTTCTGGAAAATTAGAGCTGAGCAGCTGTCCTGCTCGCCCCAAATTTCCTGGAGTGACCCCTGATGAAGGAGATGGCATGGAGAATCTGAAGGTGAACTTCACTACTAGTTTCACACTACTGCTGAAATGTAGACCTAACTAATTACTTGTAATGCTTTTGTCCAAGTTGTTACAACTTGTTTGTGTGTACCATAATTTGAACCTGTGTCTGACATAGTTGGTTTCAGCTAGGTGTAATTATTAGGCTAAAAACCTGAGGATTTTTCTGACTTAACTCCAGAGTCATTACCATTGTAAATGTGAAGTAGCTGAAGTCTAAATAAAGACTTCTCAAAACTTGTTCTGCTGTACAGATAAGTATTTGTGGTTTACCCTGAGCCTCATCCTGTTTTCATGTAAGTGTCCGTAGCAGAGAAATAGAATTGATACACGTGTGTATGAAAGTTCATAAATCATAGAATGGTTTGAGTTGGAAGGGACCTTAAAGATCATCCAGTTCCAACCCCCCTGCCATGGTCAGGGACACCTTCCACTAGACCAGGTTGCTCAAAGCCCCATCCAGCCTGACCTTGAACGCTGTCAAGGATGGGGTATCCACAACTTCTCTGGGCAACCTGTTCCAGTGCCTCACCACCCTCATCATTTCTGATACATCATTAATCATGCCAAAATATTATTTAGTTGATTGACTTTTTTAAAATCTATTTCATGTTTTTTTTTTATTTCTTTTATTTTTTTAAGGATATACTGTGAAGATAAGCAGACATTCTTACAGGATTGTGAAGATGATGGGGAGACAGCAGCAGGTGGACGCCTTCTTCATCTTATGCAGGTTACAGAAATTAATCTTTCACTTCTGGAAGTCCTGAACAGATTTTAAAACCACCATAATGTGAATAAACTTGTACATGATTATTTTAATTACTGATGTGCTTGTAGACAAATAGATGATTTCTTTCTTAAAAGTGAAAAAAAACCCCAGCCTACAGCCTTTCCAAGTCTTGGATCAGAAACAGGTGGTGGTAGTAATAGTTTGGATGTTTTAAAAGATAAATAAGTTTTGATTCCTGTGCTTACTGTGTGGTGTAAGGTATATTGAAAATGAAGACTGGAGGAAGCTGACAGAATGTGAGAGTTGAGCTATGCACAGCCTTTCATTTAGTTTCCTCAAATATTTGTAATAAAAAGACACTTATATTTGAACTTGCAGAGTGGAGCTTAAAATGCAAAAGGTAGTGGGATTGAAGGGTTTAAGTTGTTTTAACAATTTTGTCTATTTCTTTGTTCAGGTTCTGGATCTTAGCCTTCATACTTACGTATACTTTAGTTTTCTAATGTTGAAATAATATTTATTTGAGAAAGTTGCTGCTAAATGCGAATTGAGATTGATAAATTTTGATTCACTGGCATGATGTGAGCCGTAGTGAAAACATAAATTAAATATAATTACAGGGGACAGCTGGATACATCTTATGCAGTGCCTCAGGTCAGTTATAGAAGCACACTAAGTATTGTTATTAATTTTGATTTTTAAATTGATGTCGCTGTCACAAACAGGAGTTTTCTTTTCCTGTCCTTTGCTTGCTTACATTTTCTGTTGCTTCATGTGTTGTATTCTTATTCCTGGAGACTGTATTAAAGTGTTTTTAAATTACAATTTTTTTTTTTATTTCAAAGGTTTTTTTTCTGGAAAAATTTGAAAAAAAAAAAGTAATTGATGGAAATACTCTGAGATTTTTCATTTACAACTTTTTGAAACTTCCTAAGTAATTCAAACCTAACTTGGGAAGGAAAACTTATGTTATATAATATATGCAGGTATATGTGGTAAGTGAAAACATTATTGTAATGAAAATAATGTGGAGAAACAATTTTGCAGTTACTGTACTTCATTTTGTTCTGAGCTTATCAGCTTGTTCTGAGCATATTAATGTACACTTTTGAGAGCTGTCAGGCTTAAAGTGTCCAGGCACTTAACATTCCATAAAAATACAGTTTAGAAAGTGACATCAAGTTTCCCCTATCAAATGTGAATGTGTCTAGGTCATAGGGATCATCTCTCTCAATCTGTAGTCCTAGTTACTGGGAATGATTTTGTTTTGGAAGAGTATTGCTACAGGGATCAGAGAAGTTTTCATCTGTGGAAAAGGTTAAAGTAGTTTATGACTGATTTACATATGGTCATAGGTCTTGTAGTTTTTCTGTTATAAGCACTTATGACATACAATATGGGCATGAAAATTAGTTGGTTTAATACAGTTATTGTTGCTGTAGTTAGAATTATTCTCTTGCAATAGAAATCTTATCTTGCTCCAGATAAACCTAACACTTCAGTCAAGATAGCACTTTCTGTTTGCAAGAAACTGTATTTTAGATTAATTCTTTCAAACTTAGAGTTAGAAATTTTAGCAACCATGTTTGGCATCCTGTTTTCACTATGAACAAGGACCTTAAAGATTATCTAGTTCCAAGCCCCCTGCCACGGTAGGGGACAACTACCACTAGACCAGGTTGCTCAAAGATGTGTGTTTCTCTCAGAAACCTAGTCAGTTGGCATTCCCAGTGTTACTAGTGCTTGCTGATGATGGGGAGATCTTGAAGAAGGAATTGCTGCAAGGTGGAATGCACGGTGGTTTTCAAGTCTAGTCAAATCACATTTAGATGTTGTGAAAAATAAAGCTGTTGAAGGCCTTCCATTTTTCTTGCCCTTAATTGCAGTAAAAGGAATTTTCACTCCTGCTTAACTCTACTTGATTTTGTTACTCACAGTCTTAAAAAAGCTATATAAAGGTCATTGAGTTCCTTTCAGTCCTAACTGCTAATACAATTATTTTAACTTGTGTGAACTTTATATATGCCTTTTTGAATTCAGAAAGCAACTGCTTGGTTGTAAGTGATTAGGCATCAAACCTGGAAAATGCAGAGTTTTATATGTATTATCCACATGCTAGGTTGTTAAGTTGCTAAGTCCTGCACATGGCACATGGCAACAGTACTAGCTTATGGCATTTTAGGTATCCATATGCATAACGCTTCTCCCCCTGCTGTTATTGGCCTCATCCACCACCGATTCCAAAAATGTGGATAGACAGTCTGCTTAGTGACAGAGGTTCTCTGGAAATAATAGTTCATCGTTATCAGAGAATAATAAATGTACCACAGTAGTTTTCCGTTGACGTAATGCCTGAAGCTTTTAACGCATGGATGAGCAACTAGTGCACAGGAGATAGCTTTGCACCCTTTCTGAGGGATATATTGACTCTTTTTACTTTGAATTTATCTTTGGGTGTGAGCTTTAGAGGGAAACTTAACACAACTGCTGACTTGCCTTTATTTGTTACCTTCTGATAACATGTGTGACACAGACCTGACAGTAAGTTGTTAAAAATGTAAGATAGTAGACTTCCATGTTCCACATGGTGTCAACAGTAAAACTAATTCAATTAAAAAAAATAACAACATCTTTTCTTCCTTTTTTCTTCTATTTTCAAACAGATTTTGAATGTCCACAATGTGTTAGTTGTGGTGTCCCGCTGGTATGGAGGTATTCTCTTGGGACCAGATCGTTTTAAACATATAAACAATTGTGCAAGGAATGTACTTGTAGAATACAACTATGTACCTTCAGTGGTAAGTTTCTGCTACTTATGAAGGCATTTGTATATGAACTTGAGTAAATTGTCACTGTTTGACGAAGCAAGAAGTAAAGTAATTCTGCTTGCGTCATCCCCTGATTGTTTTGATGCACTGATAGGATCAGTGCAAACACTCACAAAGAACTTCCAAGAAGTTAGCGACCTGGTTTATAAGTGTGAGATGTGCAATAGAGGGGTAGCAGCATTTGAGGACATTGATCCAGAAGACAAATTTGAGGGTTGCAAGAGGATGGGAAAGAGAAGTGCTTCTTTCTTTGTATTCAGAAAACTGGAAGCTGCTGCTCTTCATGCTTAGCTGTGCCACCAGTTCTAGTGTGTAGGCAGACTGAGCTTGGGGATTCCTCTAACTAGTAGGCATTTTGAAAATCGAAAGCTTTGTTGGACCCAAAGAAGTTTTCAGAATTGTAGATGATAGACACCATTAAAAAAAATCTAAACTAGAAGAATTCAAAGTAACATTAACTGTTAGAAAAAAGATTATGGGAAAATGATCCAAGGGAGCTTAAATAAGGAGGGGACAAAGTTCCAAATGTCCTTAAATGGCATTTTGCTTCTTAAGGGACTTAGGTCATTTAATTATCTAATATTCTTGCTTTTTCCAACATTTCTTCATCCTCAGAACGGCATATTAGGTATGTCTATCATAGGTAATTGCTAACAATAAAGTTTAAGACAGTAGGGAATAATTACTGATGAATACTTGAAAAAGTATGCAACTGTCAGTTTTCCTTTACATACAAAAGCATCTAAGATTGCTGTGGCTGAAAGCTGAGCATTCTTCCCCATTCCCCTCCCTGCACTTTTTAGGTATGTACTTTTTGCATTTTAGAGGTGCTTGTATGTACTTACTGATTTACCTTCTCAGCAGTTTATCAGTCTTCTCTTACTTGAAAGCATTGCTTACAAAATAAAAGGAAACTAACCAGATTTTTAAGCATTTACCCTCATGAGAAGGTTTAGTACCAAAAATTACTTCTCTTCCCCCCCCCCCCCCCCCCATTTTAACAAACCAGACTGTATTTCTTCATTGTGTATTAACATGTTTTGTTAGCAATGTCCATCACAAAAATAGCAGATGGAACTTGTGGTAATTAATATTCTAGTACCATAGATGTGACTCTTGAAAAGAGTATTTTTTCAGCTAACTCTCTTCAGAACAGTAGAGTTCAAATATCCCATTAGGTAGGGTCCATTTCCCTCCCATGTGCAAAAGGTAAAAAGAAGTCGATGAAAATACCTCACGTTCTGTCAGATGTAGTGGCCGATTCTTTTACCCTTTTGTGGAGTGCTTGCAATGCATGCCTACTGAAGAAAAGTCTTGTTTTTCAGAGCTGGCAGTCAAGACTATGCTGTATATCACAGTGTTGATCCAGCACGACTATTGTTTCTCCCACAATAGGTTTGTTTTACTTAGGGAAGCAGTTTTAATGCACTGGTGTACAGTTTTATCTCTTGATAAGGCCATATCCACAGTAGAAGTTCTGCAGTATAGTGTGGAGAAGTATTCCTTTATTGGTAACCTCTTCTTTGAGTGGAAATGGCTTAGATTATTTTTACATTATATGCTTCTGTTGGCATAGCCGTGTCTATATTTTATCATTGCTGAAGGCTGAATTTTCTAAATAACAACACAAGCAAACAAATTAATAAAACTGAGTGGATTAGTATTATACAACTCAAAACTTTCATAAATCCCAGTGAACTGTGAACACTGTTCATATTAAAAATAGTTCTCATGGGTGACCCTGAGAGAATACTCACTGTATATAAGAATGTTGTGTAAATTTTGAAATGCTTGTTTTTCATTTCAGGAAGAGTCATCTAAACAAACAGGAAAGAGCAAAAAGACAAGGAAAGACAACAAGAAGAGAACAGAACACTAATTTATTTTTTAAAACTATAAAAGATTATTTTGCACATATTTATACAAAGAAACTATGGAGTTACTGCCTTATACAATACAACAGACATTTTGTATTCGGAAGATAATAAAGCTATAGATATATTTTCATCTTCTTCTGTGATTTCTTCAGTTTAGCTGTTAACACAAATCACTACTGCTACCACCAGTGATAATAATGATAAAGGAAATAACAAGGGAAGAGAATACATCATCTCACCACCAGGCACAAGTTTACCTCTCCAACCCCGCCGTCCCCCAGCCCTTCTAACTCAGTTCAGCTCTTTGTTATGAGAGCGTTCCCCTCCTCCCTGCAGACATGAGGCTCACAAAGTCCTTGGCCAAACCAAAACATCGCATCCCAACCCACTCACCAGCTACCAAGAAGGGGAAAAATGAACAATGGCTTCTGCTGTTCTGAAGTTTAAAATGTGTATTATTTTCAGCTCTTTGTTATGAGAGCGTTGCAACATCTAGAACCATTACTGCCTCCCAACCCCTCCCCCTGAACAATGGCTGACTAATTTAAAATGTGTATTATTTATCTTCTCCATTCCTGGGTTCAAACTCAAACACGTCTTGTATTAGTAATTAAATGCCCTAGTTTGTTGTATTGAGGGTGGGACTGGACTCATTCTTAGACCAGGGCACAGGAAGTTTTAGACTTTACCTAAAAGGGAGTATGTGGCCCAGTGCTATATAGCCTTGGAGAGCATGGTCTTGCATGTGCAGCTCTTGATCATGCTAGATACAACCTGCTTGGTGACAAAAGAAAGACTAAGCATGGGCAATGGACTAAAATGTGAAGAAATCACTTCAGAATTTTTTTGAGGATCATTCTGTAACTGTCAGGATCTAGAAGCCTGTTGAAAAGCTAAGGATTAAGTGTTGCATAATTAAAGGAAGCAATAATTTCAACAAAGAACATGAGGATTTTGAAATCAAACTGATACAGCTAGTAGTAAACATAAGCAAACTTTCTGAAGTGACTTCCATTGGTGTAGAGTGGGAAAAAGACAAGTGTTTCAGTTTTCCACTCTTATTAATAGATTCCAGACTTTAATGCAGAACAAAAAGAATTAAAAGGGCTTTTGGTCAGTTAATTGTCATACTGCTCTTTAGATGACATTTAGATATTTTTTTAACATTCCCTTGTTATCTTCCACTTGGGGAGGATGGACTTTAATGATATGTAGGGTTTTTTTTCTTCAAGTTAATGTCTAAACATTGTGATCCATCACTAGCTGAGTCAGAGGGGGTTTCTTAGGTCAGGTACATCTTATGTACTTTTGCTTATATAGTAATGTTAGGGTTGTAACTATTCCTAATGACGTTTCTCTAGTGGCACTTACATAGTTTAAAGGTGTATTTCTAAGACTAGCTTATTTGACCACCAGTTCATGATAAATATTTTTCCAACACGGTCTTACACTGAACTGCTCATTGTAGTTCTCCAGCATGAGTACACCAGAAAACTTTTCCCAAAGCAAACTTTATCTAATCAAAGTAGCTACTCCAGAGTTTGATACGGCAACAGAGACAGTCCTTAATGATATCAGTAACTCCAAAAGTACCACTAAAATATGTGATAAAAAAAAAAACAAAACAATTAAAAATTAACACTGGTTTCCTGGCATTGATTTACTGAAGCAATTTTACGCAGTTACATTACTTTGTCTGCATAGTAAAACTCTTATGGATTCAGCCTTAGCATCTGTACTTGTGATAATAAAATGTTCTTCCTCCCAGGAAAGGAGATCCATATATTACATTGTGTAGCAGTCTGGCATATTTTGTGTCATACAAGTATTTCTTGCTTATGGTTTGTCTGTTTTATTTTAAAGTGAAACTTTCACCAAATTTTCTTTTATTTTTATGGGAGTTTGAATTTGTAGCAAGTACTTAGAGAAACAGGTGAATTGTGAGAAGTTCTGCTGCAGCTGCCCAATTCCATTCATAGTGATGCATGTTCTTTTTATGAAGAGCATTATACTTGAAGCTTTGACCACTCAGAATCAACAAGTAATTCTAAACGTCTGAACTTGTGGGTACGTGAAAGCTAGGTGTCTGATTGTTATTTTTGTTCTAATTACCTTTTTTCCAAAAAGTACTCATCCTTGTCCCTAAGAATCTTGTGTTTCAGTGTTGTGTGTTAGCAAAATCTAAACCCCCAAAATGGAATGTTGATACCCACTTGCTGCATAAATGAAATAGACCATATAGGTCATTCAATCAGTGAGCAAAATGAATCCCCTATCCCATAAAACAGCTGGAAACAGACCGTCAAAGTGGATACGTGTTTGTATTTTCATGCTGTTTCTTTCAGAGATAAAGTGAAGTGCTGGCTAGATGTTTTGTGAACACTTTTGGTTAGAGAAATTGCGTTCTCTTCCTATTTTTGTTTGTAAGCATTTTGTAAGTTTAAACTTCCTTTTTTTTTTTCTAAAAACAAGCTTTCATGTGGCTTTACAGCAGTTTTGCAACAGGATTTTGTCCTTTGGGTGTGATGTCTTGGCATACCTATGCTTTAAAGAACCTGTGATTCTTGCTCTTTGATTATTAGCTCTGCTTCAAGGAGGCTGTATCCCATCACTTAAGTGGAACAATTATTTCTAGTTTGTAATTCAGAAATGTTAGAGCGGCAGTGGTCATTACCTGTCAGGATCAAAAACTTTAGCAGTTGAAGTCCTTGAGACTGGTAACCAAAGGACACAAATAACCTATTCCCCATGTAGAGCACAGCAGCAGCAGGTGCACAATATATATTTTGATCCTCAGATTTTCATCATTGCCTATAATGCATTTGGCTTGTTAACAAGGAAATCACGGACCTAAATTCTTAGAAACTCAGCTATAAAACATTTTGGTTCTCAGTGGAGAAAAGAATCTGAGAAAGAAAACCAGTCAGCGTACTCTTAAAAGCAGCTGGCGTGCTTCCTAAGTCACTTCTCTGAGGCCGTAAGTTACAATAGTTACTTAAAAAAAGTAAAATTACGCTTTATAATATTTGTAGAAGTTGCAGGTTCCTGTAGTCTAACCTTGGATAGACTGTTATCTGAGGAGGTTTGGGTGTGCTGAAGTATGTCCTCGTGAAGTATGTTATTCTGAAGACAGTGTATTGCTCTTGAACAGACTGGAAGTACTGATATCTTTTGTCTCTGAACTATAGTAATTTCAGTTTAGTATTCCTTTGTTAATTGAAAAATGTGACGACAACAAGAGAGACAACTACTTGTAATCACAATAACCCTGTTATTTTCATAACTAACAACCATTTAGTTTGTTGCTGACATAAGTCATCCTTTTTTATTTTTGTGTAAAGTTTACTGATATTAAGAGACATTGTAGCCTTTGGTATGTTTCTATGAAGAAAAGAGAAAGATTTGCCTTTTCCTGTTAGGTATGTCTCACCATATTTGCAGGTTTCCGTGGTAAAATGAAGTTAAGCAGAATCAGCAAAAGGACCCCTGATAGCAGGAAAGGAAGGAATTTTTGCACTCTGTTACCTGAAGTGTGTTGACAAGAGATCTTTGTATTTAGATTCCTCCCCTACCAGGTTAACAAAGGTGGGATCAGCCTTTGCTTTTGCTTAAACTGGGGACAAAATCTCTATACTACTGTGAAATGCATTATTATAAATACTGATATTCTAAACTCACACTGATAAACAATGTAATAATGTTACTTATGAATGTAAGCTATGATGGTTTAATATTTTCCTGCAAGTTGAAGTTTTGTAGATAAGAATCGGAGAAATGTATTGAAAGTCAACTTAGTCAGAATAAAGCATCAATGTTCTTCAGTCCAGAACCTGATCGTGCAACCTGGTAAGAAATCATATTGCATTAAACAAATTCTGTGTACGTGAACTAGCGAGTGGGATCCAGCAAGGGAAAGAGATTACAAAAATGATTTGCAACAACTCTAACTATAAAAAGAATGTCCTAGTAGAATATATAATGTTAAAGTGGAGCAGCAGTTTTAACAGGTTTTGTGATCAAATGTAAATTTATTTAAGACAATATAAGCTGTATACACGTCCCCTACTTGTGGAAGAGTTGTCTTATGTCTTTCTTCTACCGTTTTTCTTTGCTCTTCTAGAAACAAATCACAAGTATGGCTGAAACCAGATCGGCCATTACAGGACTGAAATCTCCTACAAGTTAGTATCAGAATGATTTCTTCTTTGTTGCTCAAATTGAAGTGGTTGGACCAAGAGCCAGAGTTTATACCTGGTCTCTGGAGTATTTTGTTAGCAAAGTACCTTCTGAAGCACTGCTGGGTGTTTGTAAAACAGAGACTTCAGATGGAAGAGCCTTAATGAATTCAACACAGTTGAGCAATGGAAAAGAACTCCTGTCATTCTTACAAGCTTCCATTTTTTTTGTGTGTGTATTAATCTGTGCTATGCATTTATTGTCTAGCACATTTATTAGAATAAAAATTCCATACCTTTTTATAGGGTTATTATTGAACAGCTCATACACTGCACCAGTAGAAAATCAGTAGTTTATTATCTACTTCAGATATTTTTCTAGCTAGGCATGTGTTCTAGACTGGTTTAATCATAGTTATAGATTATTTGTTTAATATTATAATACTGTTCTAATTCAGCTCCTCTGCACTGAAGATTTTGTGTTAAGATTGGATGAGAACAGTTCTATCTGTACTTTGTAAAGCAGCTTGAGAAAGAAGAAAAGGGTCAAAAGCAGTATATTCTCTTTTGCAAAAAGCTGTAATTGCACCATTCTAAGGTAGTGGTTGCAAATCACATCAGTATCTTAACTGACACTGTAGCTTTAATAATTTTAGCATGGATTCTCACAAGAAAAAAGTGCACAGAATTTGAGTAAGGGCTTTGCTATTAAGAGGATCCAGTTTTAACTGTGATTGCTATAAAAATGTCTTTCAGCCTCATGGCTTGTCTATTAGCATGAGTTTGTTTACAAAATGGCGTTCTTTTGGAACGCAGTTTTGTTCTATGATTTTTCTGACTTTATAAGATATTTGCAGTCTTTTGATCCTCAGGGGGCTTTCAGAAGATTGTAACAAATTCTCTTCTTCTGAGACTGGTGGTTGTGCATTGATTCATCATAGGTGCCAGTCTGTAGAAGGCCCGCAAGCTCAAGCTGGTATTTCTGGCCAAAGTTAGAAATCAAAGCAATATCCAAAGGTTTCCAGTAGAAAAGGATACTGAAGAACTTGGGTCTTCGCCCCTTTTCTGCAGGGAAACCTGTTCCAGGGCCCCTTCCTGACTGAAGGCAAACAGCCCTATGTCTAAAAGAAGAAAAGCTTTTACATACTTTCCTTTCGGATACGTGACTCAGCACTGTTTCTGAGCACTCGCTGACAAAGATTTGCAGCAGGTATGTTGTGTCTGCCTCTGTGTGTGTACACAAGCTGCCCTAGATTCAGTGCTTCTTACCAAGGGATTGCCACTTTGAATGCACAGGAGTGAGCTCTTGCTTCTGTGATAAGGTGAGACCTGTCACAAAGGATTAGTTGTGTTAGCTATGAGGAAAGAAAAAGTATAATTGGGACATGGTAACTGTTTATAAAGATCCATGATTTGGCAGTATCCGTGGAAATTTTCATGCCATTCTCTGGATTTGAATGCAGGGAAGCAATGGCAGAAGGACTGTTACCATCCTTGGAGGCCTATAGGAGGCCTGTGATGTCTTTTATGATCAATAAAATGCAGAAGCAGAAATTCTTGGGGCAAGAAGGTGACTGTTTAGAAGATTAAGTGAAAATAAAATGATCGACTGTCACTTCTAGTGCCATATTAGCACCTTGACCCACAAATTGCTGGAGGCATGGGGAGCACACCAACCGTGTATTTTGCCATATTCTTACATAATTCCTTAGACTACAGGCAGTTAAGACAGATGGAATACAGGATTGTACAAACCCTTAATTTGACCTTATATTTGTTCACCACTTTATTTTCAACCACAGAATTGCTTGGAACTCCAAAATTATATGTAGATCAGCTTCAATATTGCTAACAGAAGAAAGGCTAGTGGTATTACTTGTTGCCACAGTGTGTTTTCTACATTTCCAGCATTACCTGGAAACAAAATAAAGCTTAAAGCAGTAATAGACGTACATGCTGTGAGGATATTTGTATGGATAATAAAGTTTTGCATTTATTGTACTGCTGCCGCTCAAACATTTAGTAAAAGCATTTGGCAAATGCTAATGAATTCGTTCCCACAACAGAAGCACAGACATGACAGCCAATAGTTCTCAAATTTAAGTATCTAAAATTAGACACCAAAGTGTTTTTAGAACCCATAATAAAAATGGTTGAATTTTTACAACTGTGGAATACTCAGCTCTCTGCAAGTGGCTTCATTACTCATACAAAATATAAGCACTTGTGAAAGACATCCGTTTTCTCCCACCAGTGTGGAAAGAAAAGCCTTGTCCTATGAAAGCTTATTGCCAAGCTCTCATTCATGTTCAGGGGGTCGGAATTTAGTTCCTTTGTTCTGGGAAGTGCTGTGTCACTGGGGCTGCCGCTAGGAGTTTTGAAACTGATTTCAGTGGGAGTTTTGTAACTCACCTCTGAGGATTGGGCCATTGCTAATTAAATGCTCTGGTAAGTAACTGTATATATGCTTATGCACAGCATATCTGTTTTCAGCCCTAGGGTCCACAGAAAGAGGAACAACACAGCAACAACCAAGTTGACCCTGCTTTTTTGTCAACAAACAATTATAACACAATAGAGAGGGACCACAAACGTGCTGAAATACAAGGAGACTAGATAAACAAGAATGAAATGGAAAGTAGTTTAAATTCTCATAAGGATATGTGCCCAAGATTAAGGAGAAATATCTCAGAAAAAGTTGTTGTCCATAGGGCTAGCAAGCAAAACACTTCTGAGAGGGAGGGAACAAGAGAGGAAGGGAGGAAAGCAAGAGACGATCTCAAATCAGCCTTCTTGATCTCCACAGATAAGGATCAGGTTGTGTAAAGAAGAACTTGCATTTTAAAGTATGAGCTTGGGAAAACTGCATATTTCTTACTAGTTGCTCTTCTAGAGATATGCATGCTTAAAAAAGATCTTAAGAAATCTGGATTTATCTAGCATCAGAACCTTTTCAGACTAACTCTTCTGACCTCAGTAGATAAGGATCGACCTTCAGGAGAGAAAGAGATAGATAGTGTATTTTAAAGTGTGAACTTGCTGCTGCTTATAAGGTGTTTTTTTTAATAGATTTTGTTTTCAGGCCGATTGGTGCATGCAGATCAAGGAACGTTAGAGACTCCAGGCCTTGAAGACTTGTGTTCCATTACCTTTATATTCTGATCTTTTTCTTTGGATGTGTCAGTATTAATCCCAGCCTGTTAAGAGACTTGCCTCAGCCCTTTGGATAACTCTGCCAGATGCGACTTTCTTCCCGGACTGAACTGAGCTGGACAGGCAGCATGCACAACAGCACTGCTGAAACTCCGCTGATGGCTGAAACGTGGAATGAGACTCGGTCCACGCAGTCACCGGGCTCTGAGTTTTCCCTGGGCGTGTTGGTGCTGCTGGCTTTCCTCATGGTGTTGCTGGCTTTGGTGACCACCCTTGGAAATGCCCTGGTGATCCTGGCTTTCATCATGGACAGAAACCTCAGGCATCGGAGTAACTATTACTTTCTCAATCTTGCTCTTTCTGACTTTGCAGTAGGTAAGTCCCGGCAGCGGAGGCACGTACTGCTTTTGTCCTGGGAATCTTAGGAGAAGCGGTGGGGTTTATTTTCTGGGTGGGTGGTTTCTTCTAAGAGATCTGTTTCCCCGGTGTGTGTCTGGGGGGAGAGTAAGGAATGGCGGAAGCTGCATGAGGTGTTTTAACAGCATATTATTTTTTCAGAAAGAAATGCGTCCTTTGTCAGGTACATAGGTAATGTTTAATGTTATCACTTCAGGAAAAAATACTACTGTTTGTGAATACGTTTAGAATACTAAAGAGTGGGAGTTGTTTGTAAAGGGTCTTGTCTAAAGTCTGGAGAGTCAAACTGAATACAGTATACATTATCTGTCAGATCTTGCACACATGGTTGATACCTTCTATTTCAAGATTTCTACTCTCATAAAATAATTACCTGAAGTTTGTAATGAAATAGCAATGAATAGTAGTTTTAACCAGTTTGCTGTACATGCTCTATCTAGAGTCATACTGTAGAAATATGTATTTGTATAGGTAAACAAAAACAACAATTTCTAAGAATAGTCCTCCTGAATGCTAAAATCTATAATATAACCTTCTGCTTGAAAGAGCCAGTGTTAGTTTCTCCGTAGATGCAGTGATTCTATTTCATTGCAAACAATACCGTTAACTCTTCAGCCTCACAAGTCTGCGTTGGGACTGTGTGTGTAGTGTGATGAGCTAGAAATTCATTAAAATAAGGTCATATTGGCACTTTCACAACAGTTGGGTTTAACAGCCTATATTGAGATATCCATGGGTGCGGGTCACTCATGTATGTTTCCCACCGCTTGTTTTGTTCCCATAGATAATATCCTATCAGCCCACCACCGAAAAGTGGTTATGATCTAGAATTATGATGAGAAGAAATGTTAGGCTGGGTGTACTTAATTAACTGTTCTGGTTTTGTCAGCCTTTTGATCTTATAGTTTTAAAGATTAGTCTGAAATTCATATTGTATTTCTAGAAAAGTTTATTCTGGAGCATTTTCAGACTCTGTATCATGCTTCTAAGAGGACAGAATAATGAAAATTGGATAATTTATTGTGGAAAGCAGTTATTAAATTACATTGGGGAGAAAGATGTTTTTGTTTGTTTTACTTTCAGTAGTGAATACAGAATAGTGTTTACTTCAGCAGGTTAAAAAGTCAGCTGCTCTTTCCTTTAGCAGGTGATATAACCAGAGGAAGTAATAATGATACACAATAAACACGATATGCCTTTCAGAAAGGTATTAATTATGTTGCTGGTGCCTAGTTTGTAGTACACTGTTCATTGGTTGCATGAGAATATAAAGCTTTCCACATGGCAGTTCCAGTCAGTACCATGCTCTTATTGGATACTGCAGAAATGTCTCTGTTTTTATGAGCACTGCTGCAGTGTTTACTGACGTGTGTGTTTGTTTTATTTACACAGGTGTGTTCTGTATTCCTTTGTATATCCCTTATGCCCTGACAGGGACGTGGCACTTGGGAAGAGGCCTGTGCAAGACCTGGCTAGTTATGGACTATCTCCTGTGCTCAGCTTCAGTGTTTAACATCGTTCTTATCAGCTACGACCGTTTCCTGTCAGTTACAAAAGCTGTAAGAAGAGCTTTTCTAATTATTGATTTTTATATGTTGCAATTTCTGTTAAGCTCTGAGAGTTCCCAATTAACACTAGAAGCTAAATACTCCTTCATGATTGTACCATTTTTTTCTAGAGAAATGTTGATGTTTCAATGTTGCATTGGGATTTTGAGATAAGAAAATGCCTTGCCTATGATTTCAATGTTTTCCTCGTGCTGCCTGGATTAGAAATGATTTAATTACACTACAGAGGAGATGGGAAGGTCAAGGTAGGAAAGGGGCAGCAGCAGTGTAGAGAACTTGGGCTTTGGTCATTAGAATAGTGGTAATGAAAACTAGGTTGAGTCAAGGATGTGCTTAGCCTTGGGATAAATTTTAAAAGAAGAGAATATGGAGAGAGATGTGGGATGGACTGACTGGAGATCAGATGAGGATCTTCATTACTGCAGGGGGTGATTGGTATGTGCTGCTAACAAGCAGCTGGGTGGAAACTAATCCCTTTAAGCAAAAAGAATGAACCAAAATATCTGGAGAAGTAAGAGGTGCTTCTTGAGTATTTCCATTCTTCTGCTTAAGAATATATGTGAGGAATCCAGTGGTAAATATTATCATTAACCATTACTAAGATCTACCTGATGTTTGGTCCAGGTGGAAGATGATCAACATCCTTTGCTTTTGATGAGTCTGCTTTCTCAAGTGACATGGGCTGTGTTAGTCTGGGAGGTTCTTGTTTAGCAAATGCTGTTGCAATGCCTAATCTCTTCTTCCCCACTGTTGTGGTTTTAGGGTTGATTTTGTTTTTTTTTTTTAAGTTGAACAATAAAGGATGAAAATCCCTGTATTTAAGAAACAGTAACATTGAAAAATGTTCATCACATTGCAGGACTCAAAATGTGAGAAATGTAAATTGAAAAGACCTATGCAACACAACTGAGCTCCATGTTCTTACACACTGTTGCTAGTCTTTATTTACATGATCATATTTCGCTTTTCCTGTTTATGTAATTAGGATGGAGTGAGTCCAGGACAGTGTAACATAGAGCTGTTATCCAAAGAAAAGTTATCATGCTTCCTCACAGACTTGGGATCCACCTCTGCCTCTGCTACAGACCTAGCTTGTGGCCAGGGGCCAGTCATTTCAGACTTAACTGTTCGTGAAGCTGTGCTGAGGTTCCTGTTTTGTGCCTACTAAACTGAAATGCTTGTGCTCTTGCAAAGGGATGCAAATTAGTTGTTGCAGAACTGGAGCTGGGCTCTGAGCCGATATAATGCTTTAAGATGTAGAGAAGCCTGAAACTTCAGGCTACAGGTGTTCAAAAGAGAGACTCTAAAATAATGCGTAAAACACTGCAGTAGTGCTCTGTTACTCACTGGTAAAATAGGGACAATGCCCCTCATGCCACATGTGGCTGTGAAGACACCATTCATTAATACTTGTATAGCATGTAGGTGCTTCCCTAATGAACAGCAGTGGAAGTTGATGAGGAAGGTAGTGCTTCTGGGTTGGAGTAAAGCCTGGGATGACAAATGTTGAACAGTGTGGACAAAATAAAATTGTCCAGCTTCTCATTTTCATAATCTTGTGCTCTGAAAGATGCAGGAGACCAAGAGCTACAAGTATGTATTGTACATACTCGCTGGGCTATTACAAGGACAGTTTTAACTCTCATGTTTCCTAACAATGGATGCTTTTATCTCTTAGTATTTTTTTCAAAGATAGATATTTACTCCAAGAGAGTGAAATAAATTAATGCAGCCTGGGTAGACACAAAAACATTGAGATTTCCATGAGCTGTTTACAAGGTAATGTTTCAATAAAGTAAGGGATGTTAAAGCTTACATGAAGATTTTTCTGCTATGGCAAGAGGAAACTATCAAAAATTACACTGTCTAGTGTTTGCAGCCTTACATGGCATCCTGTTTACTTCTGGCAGCCTGGCTTCTACTTTTGTCTGTTGAGGGAGGAAAGAAGTCCCACAGCTGCTTTTCCTCTGAGCCTGGGCAGTTCATGAATCATAAACTGATTCATTATTGCTACCTTACTGTAGTAATGATGAAAACAAGGCATATCCTTTCACACCTGGAAGCCAAATGGTAGTTTAGCCATCATAATTTCTGCTCCCCTCCAAACCTAAGTATTAATCACAGAGCTACAGTATTTGATGAACAAGACTAATAGAATGTTTCAGGACCTTATGTAAGTGAAGATGTTTTAAGTGTCTGGAGAACTACAGAACAAATATTGTATTTGACTTAACTGCTTATGTTTTTTTAAGATAGTTGTTCCAAAATGCTGTCTAAATAGAGCATGTCCATTTCCTTCACAGGTATCTTACAGAGCCCAGCAGGGAATAACATCCAACCCTGTCGTCAAGATGGTGGCCATCTGGGTCTTTGCGTTTCTCCTCTACTGCCCAGCAATCCTCTTCTGGGAGCACGTAGCTGGACACAGCGTGGTACCAGTGGACCAGTGCTATGCCGAGTTCTTCAGCAACTGGCTCTTCCTCCTGTGTGCGTCCACCCTGGAGTTCTTTGTGCCGCTGCTCTTGGTGACCTACTTCAACGTGCACATCTTCCACAACATCCAGAGGCGCCAGCGGGGCGGCAGCACCCAGGGCTGCGAGCGTTCAAGGACCAGTAGCCTGTCCTGGAGATCCTGCCTTGTGCCAAGTCCAGGAGCATCTTCTCCCCCACTGGAAGCAGAGGACAGTATTTCTTCATTAACAAGGCCACAGAGATCAGCAGTGGAGTCTACCTGTTCATCTCCAACACAAAACAGCTCCGCAGCTCTAAAAAAGGATGTTTCTGTTTCTTTTTGCTCAAGGTCTGGCTCAAAACTGCAGAAGGACAAGAGAATAGCAAAGTCGCTTGCTATAATTGTGTGTGTGTTTGCCATTTGCTGGGCCCCATACACTTTACTAATGATCATTCGTGGGGCCTGCCAAAGAGAGTGCATCCATAAGTCCCTGTATGAAATAACCTTTTGGCTTTTGTGGCTCAATTCCTCTCTGAATCCATTTCTCTACCCTCTCTGTCATATTAAATTTCGAATGGCTTTCATGAAAATACTATGTCCCCAAAACTCTGCAACATTGAGATCACCTAAGACATCTTCGTTTTAGAAAGTTAAAATAAATGTCTTACAGATAAGGTTCCTCTCTTATATAGTACTATTTTCTCATATGTATCTTAAACAGAAGTAGAGAATAAACTTTTGTTTACTAATGGCATTGGTGAAGACTGAGGCAGAGGTATGCATTTGCCCCGATTCTGCTAGTTTTCAGGTTATCATTTTTGTTTTTGATGGTATTAAGCCAGGTTAAACACCATCCAGTGCATTGAAAAGAATAACAATTTTTGCTGGATATCCTTTGTGGTTTGTGGGTTTGAGGTACTTTTTGTTTTTACTTTTTGTTGCTTTCAGTTTTTTTAATCTAAAGCTGGTACTATGAAAGAATCATCTATTGATAACTCCATAGAGGTTCATTGGAAGGAGATACCTGTTTGTGTGTTGAGTTAAAATTTATGTCCTTTTTGTGAACCCAAAGCTCTCAGTGAAGAAACAGTTCTGCTACAGTTTTGGAAGGTTGTATAAATACTCACAGGAGCAGTATAATTTTGGTTTAAAAACTATTACAAAGACAAGATTGTGCCCTGTAGTCATTATAATTCAAACAGTGTAATTCAAACATTACAATTCAAACAACATGCAAGTGAGTAAACTGCCTAATCTGGCATACCTGTCCTTTTCTAATTCTAATATAGTCCATACCTGGTCTTGTAGGGCACAGGACACCTAAGTTAGTAATTCTGGATGATTTTCAGAGAATGAAAGTTTCCATGGTAATGGGATTTTGAGCTTGGTTATAATCTCAAAGGTCTTTTCCAATCTAGTTGATTTTAGGATTCTAAAAGCATGTGATTCTAAAATCATCACAGGCATAAATGGTTGTTACTCTTTTCAGCAGTATTGTCTCTTTTCCTGACAGTGGCTGCCTCTTTGGTCATGCTTAAATGATATTTAGTACCATATTTGTGCACTGTTTGGTTACCTAAAAGATTGACCTGGTTTGGACACATGATCACATCCCTGCTGGATTGACAGAGCAAGCAATGGAAAGTTCTTACTGGATTGATGATTTTGGCTGGCTGTGAGAAAATAGATGATACCCTTTCAGGTGTAAAGATTTGCAAGTGCAAAGATACTCTATCAAAATATCTGGAACAAATTTGAACTGGAAGGGTGATTTTTGTACTAGATCAGTTCTTTCTGTCCTGTTACTGTAACATTATATGGATTTTCTCTGCTGATGGACCAGTATAAAACTGGATTTTTTCTATCACTGATAGATGGTTTCTATCGCTGCTTGAGAATGGGATTCACAGAGGTCTGAAAGCTGATACAGAGGTGTCTTAAGCAGCTGTTAATAAAGAAAACAGTTGAATATGCAGTGCTGGAAGGAGTGCACAGATGTGTTGGAGAAGCCAATGGAGCTTGATTATAAGCCATTTCATGTGGCAAAGTTTTTTACCTTGTGTTGGGTGTTGCAGCTCACCCAGAAGGCTTTAATGGATGGGTAAGTGAAAGTCACTGATTAACTTTTTTTCTCTCTTTTATGTAATTTTCTTTCCTCTTTGTACATGTATAAAAATCTAAAAAATATGGAAAGAGGAATCTGATGCACAGAAAAATGAAGAGCAATAGTCAATTTAAACAGTATTTTTTATCTAATTTGAAATTGGCTGCAGAAGTGTTACAAAAGCAGAGTACTTTTTTGCAAGCACAATTCAAACACATGTAAGCAGCTTAATCATAGTGATGGCTTTGAGGAGCTAAAATAACATTCTGTTCAGAGGTCTGGAACTGAAGACTTCTCTTAACAGTTTTCACACTGGTGGAGGATCATCTTTCACCACTCATTTTCATTAAACTTCCTTACCTCACATGGATAGTGTTATGGGTTGTGAGCCTGATTGCTAAGAGAGATACAATGTCAGGAGGAAGTCATTGATTCAGCACACCTGTTTTCACTGTCATGAGATAAGGTGCTGGCATAGATTTTGTGGTGTTTGTTTTTCTGTGAGGCAACACACTTATAACATTTATAGAATAACTGGTGTACTAAGTCAGCATCTGTTAAACAGAGAAACTGAAGGCAGGTCCAAAATGGGAAAGTATTTGAACTGTCTGCTTTTCAGTTCCTGTGCTTTTTGGCGTAAAAATTCAGTTTGCGTTTTGTGTTGTTTACTTTGGAAAAATGGCCTACAAAATTATTGACAAGCAAAATGTATCCACATTTTGCACTAATGAAAAATGACTTTGTCAAGGAGCGCAAAGTGAAGCAAATCTGAAACCACACATTGTGCTACTAGAGTAGTGAAGCTACTAGAAATCAATGTTTTCGATGTCATGTATTACACAGGCAGTGTTCAGACTGTTTTGTCACTCCACTCCTGTGTATTTCAAGAATTTGTGGTATTTTTCTAGTTGTTGAAAGTTTTGCTTAGTGCTCCTAGGGTAAATCAAGTACTTAGTTGCTGTGCTCACAGGATTAAAGCTGCCTTCGTCAAGGCAGCATCTTAATTCTCCCTATCAGACATTTTACAGGGTTATGGTAGGATACTTATTCAGCCTTTGTTCTTGGGCATACCTTTTATGCACTGACACAAATGACTTCACTTGCCAAGTCTTTCTAAGCCAAGTCTCTCTATCCACTCATTCATCCATTTCACCATTTCATGCCTTTGAGTTTTCTTCTGTCTTTGCAGCTGTCCAATAGGTCTTGTAAATACATGGTGACAGTAGGCATATGACTCTGAGGTTCAACTCAAACCACAACAGTGTTTTTCTAACTTGACTCTCTCAGGTCTTAAAAAAAGCAGCAAATAAAGCATACATGTTGAAAAACTTGTGGTATCATTTGTTTGTTTGTTTATTTCTTGGATGAGCATTTAACCCTAACAATTTTCATAATTGACTCTCTTCTTTATGTCAGGCTAAGGTTTTCCTCCACAGGAAGGATGGATAGACCACATAAATTTCCTCCTCAGTCGCTATGATTCAAACTTCAGCATTGATTTATTCCCTAATTTTTAAAAGCAAATGATTCTTCCCCCCTTCTCCACTAATCTAGACATTTTATCAAAGAAGACAACTGAGTTTCTCAGGCATGATGTATCCTTGGTAAACCCATGCTGGCTGTTCCCAATCACCTTTTGCTCCTTCAAGTTCTCAGAAATGCCTTTAAAGAGGACTTACTCCATTATTTTCCCAGGGATCAAAGAGAGGCTGAACTTTTACCCTTGTGGCATCATTAAAACATGGTTGCACCATTTGCCTTTCTTCAATTGTTGGGAACCTCCCTTCATCTCCATGACCTTAGAAAGTGGCCTTACAAGGATGGTAGCTGGTTCTCTCAGCAGCCTGGGGTGCAGCCCATTGAGTCCCATGGGCTCTTCTTATGGGTCAAGTCCTGTCAAGTAATCCCTCCCTTATTTTCACCTGTTCCTGACAGGTCTCCTCCCTGAACTCATTCACTAAGCATGGAGGAGAGGGAGACCTAGTTAGTGAAGAATGAAGTAAAGAAAGCATTGAGTACCTCAGCTTTATCTGCATCCACTTTCACTGCATCTCTGGCCCCATTCAAAAAAGCATCTACATTTTTCTTATTCAGTATTTTACTGTTAATGCGGTGGCTGAAGTTCTTTGTGTTGTCCTTGATGCCCTTCTACAAGCATCAGCTCTAGGTGAGCTTTGGTTTTCCTAGCATCATGCTTAAATGGCCAGGTAACGTTTCTAAATTCCCCCTTAGCAGTCTGTTCCTGCTTCAAACTTGCATTCTGCTTTTTCGCATTGTAGCTTCTCTGGTTAGCCAGTGTCCTGATATATCTACTTGTTTTCCTGAAAATAGGGATGGGCTTTTCTTGTGCATGGAGGCTGCTGTTCTTAGAGGCCTGCATGTTCCCTGAGCTCCTTTGCACTTCAGAGCTGCCTCCAGTTGGATCCCACCTACCACTTTCCTGAATGAACCAAAGTCTGCTCCTTTGGTCCATTCATTGTCTGTGCTGCTACTCTCCTCCCTCACCCCCTTTAGCATCTTGAACTCCTCTGCCTCAGAGTCACTGCAGCCAAGGCTGCCACTGATTTCACATCCCTAAGCAGCTCCTCTTTACCAGCGAAGAGCTGATCTAACTGTGTGTCACTGCTGTTGGCCTTTTCAGTACTTGTATCAGAGAGTTCTCCTGACACCCTCTAGGAATATTGTTGACTGGATTTATAACTGCACAGGGAGCTCTAGGCTCTCCTGTGTGTTCCCCAGGCTGCCTTTGTGCATGCACCTGAGGCAGGTGTCTGTCTGCCACATTTTATTATTCCCGAGGTCTCTCCTGTTCCTGTTACCCTACATCTTTTGCTTTAATTACTTTTTATGATATATTGGTGTTGGAATTAAGTGATCTTAAGGTCCTTTCCAACCCAAACCATTCTATGATTCTGTGATTTCCCTTTGTCCCCCTAAGACAAGACTAGAGTCCCTCACCTCTCCTCTCCACGTTTTGTCCACCCCCTCTTCCCTTGTTTCTTGCCGTATATCTTCTCAAGCATACAGCCTTATGCCTGCAACCCAAAAAGCTGGTCGCAGGATGTGCCATGGTGTTATGGAGATGGTGAGCTGCAGGCATGAGTCACATCCATGCAGACTGCCAACTTCTGTGTACTTTAAGCAAAATAAATGGAATTAGTTTATTGTTACAATACTTCAATGTTTCCTGTAGGCTTTATTTCTTCCATGGTTCTAAATGTCTATTTAAAAATGGATGGCTTCTCTTTTCTGCATGTATTAGGTAATGGCTTGGATAACACACTGTTGTTTTTTTTTTTTAAAGGGATAATCATAGACTCATATGTGAAAATCGTGATGAGGAAGGAATATGCCTTCTCACACCTGAAAGAGACTAAGGGTTTGGCACTGTGTGGAGTAGGAGGCAGAGGATTAGATGGGCCATGCTGATAAAGTCTTCCGAAGTCCATGTATTTGGTTTGCTGTGCCCAGAGCTAAACTTGCATCTGATTAGGATGAGCTGAAAAGGTGATACTTTTGCTGAGTATAACTGGATTTTAACCAGCAGCATTAAGAAATACACATTTTTTCTTAAATGTAAAATTTAGCAAGTGGCATAGCAGCAACAGTGCCTACATTTTAATGTAAGAGAAATAGAACTGTAATAATTCAAATCTTTCTTTAACTTGGGCCACTGGGGAAGTGAAAATTAAATCTATTTTTAGCTTCAGCAGAATTCTGTGTAAAAATGCTTACACAATGTTAATACGCAGCTGCTTGACTGTGAAAAGAGTTGTTTTCAGACTAACTCTTCTGACCTCAGTAGATAAGGATCGACCTTCAGGAGAGAAAGAGATAGATAGTGTATTTTAAAGTGTGAACTTGCTGCTGCTTATAAGGTGTTTTTTTTAATAGATTTTGTTTTCAGGCTGATTGGTGCATGCAGATCAAGGAACGTTAGAGACTCCAGGCCTTGAAGACTTGTGTTCCGTTACCTTTATATTCTGATCTTTTTCTTTGGATGTGTCAGTATTAATCCCAGCCTGTTAAGAGACTTGCCTCAGCCCTTTGGATAACTCTGCCAGATGCGACTTTCTTCCCGGACTGAACTGAGCTGGACAGGCAGCATGCACAACAGCACTGCTGAAACTCCGCTGATGGCTGAAACGTGGAATGAGACTCGGTCCACGCAGTCACCGGGCTCTGAGTTTTCCCTGGGCGTGTTGGTGCTGCTGGCTTTCCTCATGGTGTTGCTGGCTTTGGTGACCATCCTTGGAAATGCCCTGGTGATCCTGGCTTTCATCATGGACAGAAACCTCAGGCATCGCAGTAACTATTACTTTCTCAATCTTGCTCTTTCTGACTTTGCAGTAGGTAAGTCCCGGCAGCGGAGGCACGTACTGCTTTTGTCCTGGGAATCTTAGGAGAAGCGGTGGGGTTTATTTTCTGGGTGGGTGGTTTCTTCTAAGAGATCTGTTTCCCCGGTGTGTGTCTGGGGGGAGAGTAAGGAATGGTGGAAGCTGCATGAGGTGTTTTAACAGCATATTATGTGTCACAATATGTTAGAATGAGAAATGCATCCTTTTTCATATAAATATTTTTAATGGTGCTTCATCAAAAAAGAGCAACTATTGTATGTGAATACCACTTGAAGGAAAGGGGTTGTTTGCTACAGTTTAAGATTTAACTTTGTTCCTCCTGTAAGATTGTTCATCACACACTTCAGGACATGATTATTTTTGACAGTGTGACTGTTTTCTTATGCAGCTACCGGTGGTACATCCACGTAAATTAATTACTTCTCTACATAGTACTAATGGCTTTTGAGTGTGTTACACTACAAGAAAACACTTTGACTATGGTTTTATACTGGCTTTAACTCAGTGAAATGCAATTTATAGATCAAATGGATTGATGGCAGCAATAGCCTGCTGGCACCTCCCATCTGTTTTTTTTAGTAGTCCACTCTTTACGTAGCATCATTGCAAAAGTCAAGAAAGTTGGCCCCTGGAGGTACCATGGATCCAGTTGTGGTGCATGATGGTAGGCAAAGAGGTGGGGGGGCATGAATGGCTTCAGCGTTCAAGCCAGGGAGACAGCCCATATGACAGAAAAAGCCTGACAAAACCATGGTCATGGGGCAGATGTTCCATCAAACACCTGGACTTGAGGCTAGCAAGGAGGTGTTTCTTGCTGAAGTGCTTAAGACAGTCACAGAGGCCAGTATTCACCAAATTAAGAGGAGGGAACTGGCACTCATCGGCCTACTCCACTTCTGGCAATACCATCCCCTGTAACTGCAGTTTGTTGGTGCTCTGTAGTGAAGTATGAGTTTAGCCTTTAAGAAATTCTGTAATTTATGCCATTTATCATCGGTGGTGACTAATTCTGGGGCTCAACCCATGCAGCAGAAACCAAATAATGTGTGTGCTGGAGCTTTTGCTTCCTGCTTCAGCCAGACAATTTGCTCGAACTGCTATTTCATTGAGCAGGTCTTCTGCAAAAGTCTGTTTCTCCTCCTGTCTTACAGTTTAATCAAGAGATTTAAATACCTCTACATCATTAGCGGTTTAAATACTTCTACATTGGCTCTTGTTTGTGGTTGGTACCTAATGGAGTCTTAACCAAGAGGAAATTATCTGTATCAGTGTTATGTTGGCCTATAGACCATTTAAACGTAAGACTTTGTCTCTGGGATCAGTCAGAAAATGCTTTACTTTCTGAAGCTGCTGTGATATTTTCTTAATTCCTTAGAAGTCTGAAATCTTTCTAGGCATGTGACTCACATGTTTTGCATCTACCGATTAGTAAAAGTGAGAATAGTTTCAAATATAAATGCTTAAAGCCTGGTTCTTGCATCTGTATTCATATCTATAACTAAAAGTAGTTGTTACTTTTTGACGTGGTGCCAAACATCAATCCCATTGAAGTTGATGAGAGCAGCAGCTGTCATCAGCAAGTATGAAAAATGAGTATTTTGTACAAAAGGGATGCTGCTTGTGTTTAAGGTGTGTGTTAAAACAAGTCATCAGTAGTGAAACCTCTGTGTGCATTTCCCTGTTGCTGACAGTCTATCAGCTGTCAGTGGGCCACATCAGCCTGGATATGTTCAGTAACTTCTAAGCTCTTGCTGTACGTATTAAGAAAAGAAGACTCTGAGGAGCTTGAAATGATCTTGAAGCTGCATATAGTTTCCTGTTTGTCTCTGGTAGATCAGCATTTTCAGGAATGTAGCATCAGATATCGCACCATACTTTTGAAAAAAAATATTAGTGGTAAAATGAAGAAGTTGCTGGCTTAAAAGTAAAACTAAGACATGACCTTTTTATAAAAACACTTCAGTAGAAGGCCTTTTGGACAAAAAACAAATGTTACAAACAAAAAATGATTTCTGGAGTTAATCTCAGCTGGAGAACCCGTATGAGATTAAACCACCCATTAAAAATGGGAGAAGGTTTCATACCACTGCTTTGTCTACTCTATGTCTTCTAGAAGAAGTTTCCTGACACCGTGCAGACTGCCCCATATATGCTCTCTAGATTACAAATGCTTACCAATCTCACAATAATAACCAACATCAGCAACACCTGTAGATGTGTTTGGGGGAAAACTCTAACACAGATAAAAGACTAGAAGCAATGAGATTACATGTCAGAGCACAAACACAGTGCATACATGCTGCAGCACCGATTATGTATCTTTAGAGACTCTAAGTTAGTTAGACTGCAGTTTTCTTATTCAGCAGATCCTTCTTTGCTGATTTGTCTTGAACTTATTCCCAACAATTGGCGTACATAAATGCAGTAAGATCTAATACATAGAAAGACACTGTCAGATTTCATGGGAATATAAGAATTTCTGTATATAAATGACATATTCACCGTAATAGACTTTATTTATTTATTTAACCATATACCAGGATATTGTCTCTCTGTGCTTCCAAGACTACTGTTTGCAATACGTATCAACCAAATGGTGTCTCTGTGGTTGCTTCCCATAGGTGTGTTCTGCATGCCTCTCTACATCCCTTACAGCCTGACAGGGAAATGGCACTTGGGAAGAGGCATCTGCAAGCTCTGGCTAGTTATGGACTATCTTCTGTGCACAGCTTCAGTATTTAGCATTGTTCTTATCAGCTATGATCGTTTTCTGTCAGTTACTAAAGCTGTAAGTACCTTGTTTATAGCTTCTCCAATTTTGTCAAAAGACCACTGGAGGATTTTATTTACCAGACTTTGCCATGTTGGCTAGCACAAGCTCAAATGTAGTTGAGATAATAGCCCTCAAAAATACATTGGCATGTGGAGATTATTGGGTATTTGCAGCTTGATGGGGTAAAAGTTCTGCATTGAGCATGCTCCAGCCCAGAACAGAACTTTTCTCATAATTTTTGCTGCAGGTTGCTGTTGTGTTGCTACTTGAGGGAGAGCAGGCTGAGGGATGAAAAGGGTAAGGCGGGATAAAAAGGGGAAAATAAAAAAGGAAATTCAAAGTAAACTGGATGTGGGTTTGGACCTAAAATCAGGCATGGGAGGAAAAGGCAGTGGAGCTAGCACAGTGAAGTGAAGAGCACTGGTGAGAATGTCTAGACCTGGGATATGGTCCCAAATAATCCTGGAGAAGATTAGGAGCAAGAACAAGCAGGATGGAGAATGGGGGCCAACTGCAGCGACTGCCTGTGAACATGAGGCAAAAAGTCCTCTTGGTGCATTCACAGGTATCTTACAGAGCCCAGCAGGGAATAACATCCAACCCTGTCATCAAGATGGTGGCCATCTGGGTCTCTGCGTTTCTCCTCTACTGCCCAGCAATCCTCTTCTGGGAGCACGTGGCTGGACACAGCGTGGTACCAGTGGACCAGTGCTATGCCGAGTTCTTCAGCAACTGGCTCTTCCTCCTGTGTGCGTCCACCCTGGAGTTCTTTGTGCCGCTGCTCTTGGTGACCTACTTCAACGTGCACATCTTCCACAACATCCAGAGGCGCCAGCGGGGCGGCAGCACCCAGGGCTGCGAGCGCTCAAGGACCAGTAGCCTGTCCTGGAGATCCTGCCTTGTGCCAAGTCCAGGAGCATCTTCTCCCCCACTGGAAGCAGAGGACAGTATTTCTTCATTAACAAGGCCACAGAGACCAGCAGTGGAGTCTACCTGTTCATCTCCAACACAAAACAGCTCCACAGCTCTAAAAAATTATTTTTTGTTTCTTTTTGCTCAAGGTCTGGCTCAAAACTGCAGCAGGACAAGAGAATAGCAAAGTCGCTTGCTATAATTGTGTGTGTGTTTGCCATTTGCTGGGCCCCATACACTTTACTAATGATCATTCGTGGGGCCTGCCAAAGAGAGTGCATCCATAAGTCCCTGTATGAAATAACCTTTTGGCTTTTGTGGCTCAATTCCTCTCTGAATCCGTTTCTCTACCCTCTCTGTCATATTAAATTTCGAATGGCTTTCATGAAAATACTATGTCCCAAAAAGTTTGCAACATTGAGATCAGGTTACTTTTAGATTGAAAACAAAAAAGAAAGGTTCAAGAGAAGCTGAATGAGGAATGTGATTCAGTTACACAACGCTGGAATTACCAGGTACTAGATTTCTTATGAAATAAACAGGTGTAGCTCCTTACATCATAGAGTGGTGTGCATTGGAAAGGACCTTAAAGATCATCTCATTCCAACCCCCTGCCACAGGCAGGGACACCTTCCACTAGACAAGGTTGCTCAAAGCCCCATCCAACCTGGCCTTGAACACTGCCAGGGATGGGGCAGCCACAGCTTCTCTGGGCAACCTGTGCCAGTGCCTCACCACCCGCACAGTAAAAAGCTTCTTTCTCATATCTAATCTAAAACTCCCCTCTGTCAGTTTAAAGCCTTGTCCTGTTACTACCTGGCCTTGTAAAAACTCACTCTCCAGCTTTTCTGTAGCCCCTTTTTAGGTACCAGAAGCTGCTCCAAGCTCTCCCTGAAGCCTTCTCTTCTCCAGGCTGAACAAGCCCAGCTCTCTCAGCCTCTCTCTATAGGAGAGGTGCTCCAGCCACCTGAACATCTCCATGGCCTTCTCTGGACTCACACCCACAGACCCATGTCCTTATGTGGGGGCCCCAGAGCTGGATGTAGTACTGCAGGTGGGATCTCACGAGAGCAGAGTAGAGGGTGAGGTCTCACCTCTTTTGACCTGCTGGTCACACTCCTTTTGATGCAGCCCAGGATACGGTTGGATTTCTGGGCTGTGAGCGCACACTGAAGCCAGCTCATGTTCATTTTCTCATCGACCAACACCCACAAGTCCTTCTCCTCAGTGCTGCTCTCAACCCATTCTCTGCCCAGGCTTTGTTTGTGATTGCCCCAACCCAAGTGTAGGACCTTGTACTTGGCTTGGTTGAACTTCGTGAGGTCAGCATCAGCCCACCTCACAAGTGTGTCAAGGTCCCTCTGGATGGCATTCCTTCTCTCCAGTGTGTTGACCACACCACAGAGCTTGGAGTCAGCAAGCTTGCTGACAAACAATCTATCCCACTGTCCATGTTGCTGACAGAGATGTTGAACAGCACCAGTCCAAATACTGACCCCTGAGGAACAGAACATGTCACTGTTTTCCACAGTACTGTATTGGGAAATAAGTTAGGAATCCAGTTGCTCTTGTCTCCCTCCCTTACTTTGAGCTATTGTTAGTAAGATAGAAGAGTCAGACAGAAGCTGATAGGCAAGAAAAATTACGTGGTTATGTGAGGGTCCTGATTGGTCTTTTTATTCTTCTGATGTAGAAGTTATTTCCAGCAGAGAAAGGCACAGGAGTGCGTTGTACCACTTATCCTTGAGCAAGGCAGCAGAAATATTGGGAGCTATCAGAGGGAGGGTTCAATCCAAGAAGGTTCTTGTGGACCATGAGTCCCTGTGGAAGTTGCGCAAGTCAGCAGCATTACTGACCTAAGTGCTGATGACATGAAATTCTCCCTACACATGCTCTGAACTCATGGTTAGTGCAGGTCCTGCAAGATACGGCATGGGGTTCATGCTGATGAAAGGCATCAAAAAAGGTCCTGGTTAAAGGAAAAAGTGATACTACCGTCAGATGCAAATTTCTCTTCTCTTTTGGGTAGGCAGAACTGTATGGGACTTTTCACACATGTATGGTTTGGTAAGTGAGATTGACCAGGCAACTCCCTGTCTTTCTTACACGTGAAAAAAACCATAACAACAAAATAACCTGAACCTATTTAAAAATACCACAGTAAAACTCTACTTTGAAGTACAGAACTTGAAAATTGCTATGAAAATGTGTGAAGAAAAAGCTTTTATAAACAAAATTCATGTGTGTATCTAAGCGCAAAAACTAGAACTGAATAAAAGACAGTGCTACACTTTCTAGGAGGAATATCTGGATACTGGAGACATGGCACTTTAGTTTAATTGCTGAACAACAGCATAGTCCTGCATAAAGCATCCTTGGGCTTTAAGCGAAAGAACTGATGAAGGACCTCTTGCTGAGCAAATCTTGGTAAGGAAAATTTGGTTTTATTGCTATTTGTGTGAGGGCCTTGTAGGTACCCAAAAGGCCTTAACTGCCATGACCAACCTCACTTGGGCCCCCACCTCTGACATAAACCTTGGGCCCTGTAGCACCGTTACACTGGGGTTGTCATGACCTGGGGTACATGAGTGCTTGCAGGTTGGTCTCCGTTCTGTCCTAGGATTTTGTTGAGGTTTTAACTGGACTTATGAGATTGGCCTTGTTCCAGCTTGTCACCCTATGTTTGTGTCATGTTCTTCCCAAGCCATACCAGGGGAACTGCAGTTGTCCACAGTGGCATAATCTGTGATGTTACAGAATCATAGAACCAATAGGTTTGAAAAGACTTTAAGATCATCAGGTCCAGCCATTACCCCATGACTGCCAAGACCACCACTAAACCATGTCACTGACAGCCTCAACTACACAGTTTTTGAATACTTCTGGGGAAGAAATCATGCAAGTGGAGCAAATCCAGTCTGATCAGGGGCTCCCTAGTATGTTCTCAGCTCTGCCTGCCAAGAGTCTCCTGTCCTTCTTCTCCCAAAACGATTCTAGACCCCACCCTTTCCTTTTATTTTTTTATCAGTGCTATCCTAATGCTTTATTGTCATATCAATTTCCTTTCAATTGCATCCTTCAGTGCTGGCTTTTTCTTTTTTCCTTGAAGCCTCACCGTATTTCTTGTATACCCATAGTGCTTGGTTTCCCATTTTGCATCAGGTAGCTCCTCCATACTGTCATACTGCCGATAGATTTGCTATGGCACATATTTCTGTGTGCCTTGCTCAACGGTTCCCCAGGCATATTGGGACAGCTTTTTTACTAAACATACTCTCAATTACATTACTGTTTTCCTTCTCATTTCTTGCACTATGAAAAGGTCTTTCTTTTTTAAGAGATCTACACAGAAATCTAATATTCTCTAAGTAAAACCTATTGTAATGTGTTAGCAGCCTAACAAAGCCACAAATACATTCCCTTACCTTATACAAACTCTACCATTCATAGCCTACCTGCTGCTAGGCTAGTGCAATTTTGGGGTAGAACCCAAGGTTCTTGCATATCATCATGTCAAGCAGGTCTCATCCCTGGTATTTCTAAAATGACAGTGCTGCCTCATCTCACAAATGCCAAACCCTAATGACCTGCATTCCTAATAAATGTAAACAACCCTAGCTGACTCCCTTTGCTGGTATGGAGGTTCTCACACAATATTTTGGAAGGGTTTTAAGAACTTGAACTAAACATGATGTAAAATGAAAAAAAATTATTTAAGGCAATGTTTTTAAAAATATCAGAAATTAATGTCAGACATTTTAAGCAAAGAAACTTAACAGATGTAGTCAGACCAAAAAAAAAAAAAAAATCCAGTTCCTCTTTGGTCTTGATTTTAACTGCATGCATTTAGTTTAAAAACAATGTTTTATCAGCAGTGTTAATGAAGTGAGTTAGAAATAGCTTTTCTAGTGTAAATAGGGTAAAGTGTTATAAAGTAGAGTGGCTGGATTTTTGTACGGCAAATCTGGAACAACATCATATAAGGAGAGAAGATGAAGGTGAAGTCCAGTTTCTTTCCGTGCAGAAGGGATTGCTTTCTTGAACAGAAGAGAATGAAAAAGGCAGACTGTCTCTTTCCTTACATCACCAAATCTAGGGATTGCCATCTCAAGAATTTTTCCCTCTAGCCCCTTCTTCAAGATCTGGTTACTATCCTTCAAGCTGGATCTGACTTTCTTGCTGTTGTTTGTACAGTGCTCTGATCTTCTCTCATGTGCATACGTGCTCCCTGATTAACTCTCCCTTATCACTCTATCATTAAAGAAGAGTATTTGTTAAAGTTCTCAGTTGCAAGAAGACTCAATATAACCAATAGTGACTCTTCATTGATGTGTTCTCTCTTGAGCTGTGGAGCTTTTAAAATCAGCCTATAGGATAATGTATAATGATTTATGTTTGTCCTCTTCACACTGGTATATCTTGAACACCTATCTATGTCTGACCAAGGAAGAAACACAACCTCCCCCTAAAGACAATGCTTTTCTTACTCCTAGGAAGGAGGAGAGTCACACTGCTGTGTAGGTGCCTTCTAAAACAGGTCTGCTTTCCCCACGTACCTGCATTACCAACAAAGTGAGAAGCTTCCCCAGAGCATTATTTAGATGTGCTAAACCCCTGACTTCACCCCTTAAGACAGCAGTTGAGAGGGCATGCTCATCCACAGGTAAGCTTGTGAATGCAGGCACTGTGAGTGCATCTGCTAGTTTTCCTTATGATAGCTTCTCACAGAAGCCTCATTCTTGGGATTTTTTCCTCTCACTGTTTCAACCTGCATGTTCCTGAAGATGTCACTAGTGCTACATGGCATGTTTAAACCTCGCAAATCCTTTCAAAAGGTGCCATTTATACGCACAATCCTGCATGATGTGACACCAGCACTTTCTGCTAAAATGCCACCAAATCTGTTATATTACATCTAGTGTTTACTCTGCTGCAGAAAAGATTAGGGGAGGGGATTATTGCCTTGGCAAAGAAAGGAAGATTTTAGTAATGCAGATAATCATAAATTAGTGCAGGACTTCATCCTAAGTTGTCGTGCATAGAAAGTGTCCTGTGCTCTGCATTTAAAGCAGAGCCTTATATCACTCGTGGAAAAGGAGAGCAAGTAATACTGAGCTGAGAGCAGGACCTCAACAATGTGCCCTCTCCTCTGATATAAAAGGCTTTTGTCTCATGATTGCTTTAAGCTATTTAATAGTGGAATGGTGCTAAAATATCTATTTGTCTCTCCTACCTTCTTGCTGCTGCTCCTGGCCCCATGGTCCTGCCCCACTGCCATTCTAGGTGAGGGCTTGTGCATCTATGCAGGATATTCAGTCTAGGAACTGATCTAGATGAAAAGTAACTAGTTTTCTGTTTGGTTGGTTAGTTTAGGGTGAGTACCTTATCTAGCTTATCACACAAGCATGGAATTGCTAGCACCTGGTGTAACAGAATTGCTGAGACCTCTCTTTGTAAGCAGCTTACTTTTGGGTCAGCTTACAATGTTGAAGCTGCAGCTAAGCTTTGTATGTGAGTACTTGGATATGTTTCTCTATCATTTTCTAGAGATCAGAGCTTTAGCTTGGCTGTCTTGGTAAACCTGCAGTAACTTTAGCAAAGTTGTGCCAAGCTAGAGTGGAGTAGGATCTTGCCTTGATCTGTACAGTGAACAACTTCAAGAGATCTCTCAGCTGGGCTTTTGGGATTGGATGACTTCCCCAGCAGGACAGATCTCACTTCTGTTGCTTTCCCTGGCATGCTAA